CCAGAGGTCATCAACGATAAAATGTTTTGGAATTAGTTACCTATATAACTTTTAAACTAAGAAACATAGAGACATAAAACCAATACATTTTTTGTTGCTCTCGCCGAGGCGATGCGAAATAAGTATGTGATGACCTTCACAGGTCAATTTGAAATTTGACCTGAGGTCAAGGTCAGGTCATTCATCAATGAGGTTGTGGGGTATGGTCATGCTGCATACCAAACGATGCGCTTTGACCAGGCGAGCAGTTTGGTACCACTTACAAGTCTTTAGCACCATCATGTCGTGATTTATTGACAGAAAAACGATTTATGACGTCACATGACCTCAGATGACCTTTGCCGGTGCCCCTGTCAATTAGCGGCACCAGGATCAGCACCGATGAGATAATCTTCCATAATACTGAAAGAATTGGGTGGTTTTGACTCGTTTACACGAAGCAGGAGGCGTTTCAATATTTTCCCATAGGCTTGCAATGTAAAGGTCACGAGTCTGGCCTGACCTCAGGTCACAGATATGAAAATTCTGAGATAAATAAATTGCACATACTGGTACCCTAACTAAAACCTGAAGAGAAGAAATTGATCGGTCAAAAACTCTAGCTCTGGCGTGATTGCAAACTTTTCTGAGGTGGGGTCACCAAACCGCCTCTGGTGACCTGACCTGACCTGACCCGGCAACTTTTTTTTTGTCAAAATGTGCGCAATGAATGTTTAGAAAAAGTCACCGAGTATGAGCTTTCAGTCTTGCGGCGTTTGGCAATGGCACAAGAAAAACCTGAAGGGGGGGGGGGCCTTAAAGGCCCCCTAACCCTATTCCCGCCAGGAATAGGGTTAAACTGTGAATTGAAAGGCAATCACGTTGTTGTTGTTTCAAATACGCACCCAATCGTTAGATTGCTACATATCTCATGCCGTCAATATGGTTTACTCAGAGCTTCAACGCTAAATATTGTTTTGACGGACGTCTGTGCGAAACAAGAAACGAATAGCCGGTGTGTACTGAAGTGGAATCGATGTTGCCCATTATGTCGATTTAGCTTAAAGGAAAACAAAGATGTTAGAAAAGCGATATGACGGCATAAACTTAGAAAACCTTAACGACAAACAAACGATCGGCTTGATTATGTCGTGCCGACCAGTCGAAAATGATACAACGCCAGCCTGAAGAATCGACCAATACGGAAGAAGAACGAAAACCAGACGTGTTTGCGTTGGACGAACAGAATATGTACAGTACATCACAGCAGCAGGTGCAGTTAAAATGCTTGAAAACAGGCGTGCAATGAACAGTGTAGTGATCAGGCGCTAAATAAAAAGTGCACTGAACAGGCCGGTATTAACCCTATTAGTGGCAGGCTCCTGGCTACCCCTATTAGTGGCAGGGGGGGGGGCTGTTTACGACCCCCCCCCCCCCTGATATCTCGAGATCTAACGGGCCGATTTTCAAAATTCAAACGGCATTCGATTTCGCTCAAAGTGATCTATATTTCTAAAAAATAAAAATTAAAAAATGTCAATAGGGGGTAGAGGGGGGTGGGGAAACGGGCAAATTGCAGATACATTTTAGACTGTTTATCACGGCCAGGTTTCCGAACCAATCTTAACGCAACTTTTGCCGATCGATAGAGAATGAACCAGGAATTCACATGGATCCTAAAAATATGCATTTTCAAAAATCATAGGCGGATACAGATCATTGAGATTGGGGGTACACAAAAAGTATAGTAAATAAGGTTTTTGTTGGTACTGTTTCTAAAAAGGGTGGTAATGGTCTTGTTATGTTACAATTTTCTTATGAGAGAACGACTACAATTGTATTGGTCATGCATAGGCGGTGTCAGGGCACCTATGTTGGGAGGTAAAACATAGCCCCCCTTTTTGGACGCCTGGATCCGCCTATTATAGCAAAAACGTGTCAAAAGAGGATGCACAATAACTGTATATGTTATCACATGATACCTTTCATTCACTGTTCGTAAAACTGGTGCAGCATCGTGATCTTCGCCCAAATGACTCGCTTCACGAATAGGACCCCCCAATTCCCAGTGCTCTGGAGCCGCCCCTGGTAAAGTTATGAACTTGAAATTTTCAGGGAATGTGCCCAATTTAGTTTTAGGAAAAGTCAGAAAATTTCAGCATCGTAGCTTCAGCGGTTTCGGAGATATTCTCGAAAAACCTGAGGGGTGGATGAAAACAACCCCCCCTGCCACTAATAGGGTTAACAAGTGAGCAGTGAAGATGCAGACAGGACGTTCCAAGTGCTTCCTCGACCCCTTCGTAAACGTTCAAACATTTGAAAAAACAACATGACCGCGCGACAAACCTCGTCAGTCACATCGGACATAAGCGGCGGGTCGAGCTTCATCCACTGGCCGCCGCCGTGGCAGGGGTGCGGAGCGGGTCAGTTACATAGCATACAATCACCGAGTGTATGAGCCACAGCTGGGATATTTATGAACTTACATATACTCACACACGGTATAATAACTATGCGGTACAGCACGGGTCACTTTCAACGAAACTAGTGTATACGGTACAGCTGGGTTACTTACTTATGCATGTACTTACATAAACTCACGGACACGGTACTTCGAAGTACACCAAGAGTTGTCGCTGTTCACAACGTGAGTCAGCGAGACTGCATGGATGATTTACAAGTCGCAGCCAAATTATAACCAGTATAACGCCTTATGGGCGACTAACGGAGCGAGCGAGAGGGTGAGCCTTGCACGTGCGAAATTTCGAGGGGGTACCTCCAGCTGACTTGTGCACGGCACCCTACTAACCGGTCTCTAGCGATGTGCCAAATTTGAGCACAATCGGCCCAGCCGTTCTCGAGATCTGGAATCGGCACCCTGCACGTGCGCACGTGCAAAATGGGTCCCAACTGACTTTTGCACGGCACCCTACTAACCGGTCCCTAACCATGTGCCAAATTTGAGCGCCATCGGTCCAGCCGTTCTCGAGATTTGGAATCGACCCCTGCACGTGCGCACGTGCAGCAGCACCCCAACTCTGGCACATGGATATGCATTGCCTAGTGGGTGCCTACCTACATGCCAACTTTCAGCGCAATCGGCCAAGTAGTTACCGAGATATTGCAACAATTACAAAAGTGACACCTCTTCGTTTTGCACGTGGCACGTGCATAAGGGGTCACCCACATGCATCGGCAATAGTCCAATACTTGGTAGAAGGAATGAAGCTACCCTACAAAAATTACCGCGTGTAAATCGGTCAAGTGGTTGCTGAGATATAAGCCTCGCAAAAGCGTGACCACGGCCGGCCGGCCGGCCGGCCGCTCATACTCAGAAATTTCCGTTAATCTAAGGAAAGACTACGCTCGCTTCGCTCGCTCCGTAATCAGCTCACATAAAATAATAACATACCACGGACACAGTTATAAACAGGTTACGTAAAGTGGCACCTCACAACAGGCCAAAACAGACTTCAGCAGTCGGCAGAAAAACCTACGGAGGCAAAGACGCCTAGCATTGGCCGGAGCATTAATTAAGACCGCGTGGACGCTCGCCTGTGCCACACATCAAACAGATTCCGTGCTTGCCTGCGCCGAACATAAAATAGACCCCGTGCTTACAAGAAGTATATCAAACATATTCCCCAAGCACACCTACCTATTTTAGCTCTTAACCCGCGAGTTGCTGGGGGGGGGGGGGCGTTAAACGCCCCCACTTTTTTCGCCGGGCCATAGCATAAAAACGGCGCGCCGCAGGTGCGCCAAATTTTGGGTACCTGTAGGGAATTAATTGAAGTTTATTGTGACAAAGTTTCAAAAAAAATCGGTCAGAAAATTTTTGAGATATCGAGGTTTTAGTGACGTCATGATTTCTGAGTTTTCGACCAAAAACGGCATATGTTCAAAAAATCATATAAAATCACAGAATAGACATATAGACATGCCGTAAACGCCATTAGACTGCCAATACCATGAAAAAGCAAATGGCTATCTTCGATTATTGATTATCGTTCCGCATTTTCCAAAATCTCGAACTGAATCTTGGCAATTTCTCGTGACTACTTCACGACCATGATACATGCATTTCTTAAATTGAACTTTTTTAGCCAAACACGTACACATATGATAAAATGAATGTCTCCATCGTGTTCTACGCCCCAAATTACCCATAAAACATGTGTCACAGGCTGCGAATATCAGTTTTGATTTTCGGGGATATATGCCTACCCGGTTGACCTGACCTTGACCCTGACCTATGCTTGACTGACCCCTACATTGAGCTGACACTCTGGTAGGCCTTATATGATGGATTGTGCATCGTTTTGACAGAGTTTATGACGAGAGGCGCCCATTGCGAAGTCCTGAAGTCCATGCTACTGAAAGCCCGATTTCAGGTGTTTGACCTGACCTTGACCCGACCTGTGACCTCAAAATTCAACTTTAAAGTACTCATCTGAAGCGTCTCGTCGCGTTCTTTCGTTTGCCGCCTCGTGCGTTTCGCTGCGCCTATTGGTTCTCGAGTTATCGGCTGGGGGCGTTTAACGCCCCCCCCCCCCCCAGCAAACGGTGGGTGCCGAAATACCCCAGCAACTGCCGGGTTTAAGAGATCCGCTTGAACCCGGCGCGTATAACTTTCATACGCACTGCGCCATTGCATGATCCCCTGCCGTTTTCAGCTGGCGGGAATAAAGTTTATCGCGTACCCGACCTGAGAGTCGTTTGATTTCATGATGACCGGCTGCCTATACCTCAATTGTCGTCCCATTTCTCACCCCTCTTAGTTCTGTCACTTATCCCTTCCAGACCCGGGCATGGGCATGTCTCATCCTTTTTACCTCCACATTTTCTTTCAGCTCGTTCTCATTTCCTTCTTTCTCGTCCATCCTTCCCTTTCTCGTTCATTCCTCTCTTCCCTTGCCACTTCCCTATCTTTTTGTCTCTTACTTCCTTTTCTGCCCCTCTTTCTCCATCTCCCTCTCACTCACTCACTCACTCACTCACTCACTCACTCACTCACTCACTCACTCCCACCAGTCACATGCGTTCGGTGAAGACAGTCTTCCCACCTTGATGCCGGCACGTCGGACAAAGTTTAGCAGCGGCGGCACAAAGTACTCGAACATATCCTCGATGATGGTGCGGTGCTGTTCGTTCAGCGTGGGAGGCAGGGTGGCCATCCACGAGGTCAGGTGGGGCCGCCAGCCGAGCGTGTTGGGCTCCAAGTAGATCATACCGCAACGGGACACCTGTGGTGGACGGACAGGCGGACGGCGGGATTACGATGGGTGTTCAGAAAAGCGAAGTGCCACAGTTAAGGTCGTCAGAAGGTGCACCAGTTTGGAGCAGTTAAACTTAAAAGAGCATGATTAGAAGAGAGGTAGCGTTGAAAGGGGAAATGGGAAGCACACATCTGATGAAGCGACGAAACATTCCGTTGGAAACAGTCACAGTAGAGTTGAAAGATTGGTTAAATACAAGGATGATGCCGCCCTTAGGAACGCCACTGCTACAGAGTAACGAACAGCGTCGTAAATGGTTTCACCGTAACAAACCGCACGTGTAGATCTAAATATGGAGCCACCAGCCCTCTCCTCTTCAATCAACTTGACAGACATGCCATCCCACCATCACAAGACTGCCACCACCGTCTCGCCGCCACCATCAACTCACCGTGGCCGGTGACGCCGCCTCCAGATCCATGGGCTCAAATATGAGGTTTGTGGTCGGCGACAGCTGGATAATCTCTCCCGACATCAGACACAGCTTCTTGTTGTCGTCGAGCACGGTGTTCATGTTCTCGATCCATATGGCATCCACGGGTCCGTCGAACATGAGCCACTTTCTGATGACAAGCCAGGAACAGTAAGTAGAGTGTAAAATTGTGTTAGCGACTAAACGCTAACCGGTGATATACGTCCGCCAAATAAGTGTCCCTGTCCATGCATAGATTATTTCATGCGCGAAATTATTGACATACACCAAACTATAGAGTACAGAGAATAAATCATCGTTGGTCGCAGGTTCAGGAGACATTTTGTATCCAGCTGACGATACGAGCGTCGCCATCGTGGAAAGAACGCTACGAGTTATATAACAGCCACTCCACAACAGCCCATAGCGTGCTCAGTCAAATTTGGATGGAAGTTAACAACTTCAGAGGTATATGCCGAACTACGACTAGCCCGAATAAAAGGGGTCTTAGAAAATTCACAACAACAAATGGGACGAACGCATGTCAGGGCTAATACGGTGTTTACGAGAAAATAAATCACAGCTCTGCCACTAATAAAGTTAATCGCCAATTATAACTGTCGGGCACCGTTCCGTGCTCAGGATACTGAAATCCTTCTCCTCACCCCGCAACCCACCCTCCGGGTGGACAGGCAACTTTATCTCATGCGGGCTGCTCCCTTGGAGCGGCACCGCTGCTCCCGAGGGAGCGCACCCCGTAACCGGGTGCAGTCAGTGTCTTGGGGCTGGGTGGCCTGTCCTCTGGACGGGCTCAGCCCCGGCGACTCACTAGGGTGCCTGCCCAGACCAATGTCTCCCCCTATTTCCTATCATCCTCCCGGCTCTGAAATGGACCGAAATCATTGGACCGAAAGGGCCTAACCCAACAAAACAAAAAAGTAACTGTCGGGCAGCTTTGCATGGAGACCAAACAGAACCACTGTAGACACGCATTCATGCAATGCATTCCTCCGAAAACTAGCTGGTTGTATCGCACCATGAACGTTTCAACGTAATTCTCCCCTTAGTATCTTTCTCTCACTTCCTAGCTACCTTTTCCTCTCTTTCTTTCTCTCTCTCTCTCTCTCTCTCTCTCTCTCTCTCTCTCTCTCTCTCTCTCTCTCTCTCCTCTCTCTCTCTCTCTCTCTCTCTCTCTCTCTCTCTCTCTCTCTCTCCACTCTACCTGTCGGGACTGGGATCCACCGCGAAGGCCCGGTAGCTGACGGCCAGAACGCCGTCGGTCCACTCGTGCGAGGCCGGATCAAACTGCCCGTACAGCTGACCCATGGTGATTGACTTGGGGTTGATGACGGTGATCTGGACAGAGTTCTCGTCCATCTCCTCCTGTGGGGGTCAAGGTCAGGGTCAGAGGTCAGGGTCAGGGTCAGGGTCAGGGTCAGGTTCGGGTCAGATCAGGGTCAGAGTCAGAGGTCAGAAGTCGGGTCAGAGGTCAGAAGTCGGGTCAGAGATCAGAAGTCGGGTCAGATCTCGAACGCCGGGTCGAATAGGTCAGGGGTCAGCGATCAGATAAGGAGGATTAGGTCAGAGGTCAGGTTGACAGAGATTAGGCTAATGGAAAAATAAACACATGTCATCCAACGGTCTGTGACCAGATTAAGTCCGTGTTAAGAGGTCAGACTAAGTCATCGATCGCAATTCAACACGCCTCGTGTTTAACACGTCACTGCTAGTAACAAACAAGGTATGCATTAGCCACAAACGTAATCGGGACACCGCGCGACAAAGGTCGCAAATACGGCGCCAACTTTCCATAGAACCACTCCCACAGAATGTCCCTAGCATTTCACTGTCCTATATTTAATCTCGTTATGTAAGCATGCATCAACTGCAAATGCTAGAGACCTCGTTTACGAATGTCTGACATGCATCCAACAACTGGGGCTCCCTCCTGACTCCACGCCCCTCCCCCCCCCGCACCCGACCCCGACTCGGAGTCCCGGAGCACCCCGAGGCCCCTGGTCGGCCCACTCACCCGTTCATGCAGCTTAGCGAGCGCCTCGGCCAGCATCCGGTAGGCGCACGTCTTGCCGCCGAACGGCATACCCGTGATCATGAATCCATGGCGCACGATCATCATTTCGTATATCTGGAAGCGAAATAGGAGTGATCATAGCTGAAACTGCGCTTAGGTACCTAACAAGCAGTCGCACGGCTGACAGTCATGCACCGTTGAGTTAGAAACACAAAATATATGTATAAGTGATATGAGACCAATGAGAGTAAATTACTGACGCTAAAAACTAAAAACGAGCATAATGCGACAATATAAGCTCGAAAAACGTCGAGAAAATGTGAACAACAATGGGTAACCTGGTATTGGCTATCAAATTCACGCCGCTTCCCAAATCGCTCTGCTCTCTGGCCGCCCCAGCCGACTCTGCGCCTCTGACCTGTTGTATTTTCTCGAGGAAGTAGTCGGTGCACTGGAGGTTGGCCTCCTCACAGCTCTCTCGGACGGCGGCGTTGAACGTCGTGTAGTCGGTCTCCGGTAGTTTGATACCGGGGAACAGGTCAGACGTGATACCCTGTGGACAATGGAGACGATGCATGATATTTACATAGCAGCTCAACTCCGGTTGAAATGGTTTGGGACTATAGCGAATTATTACTTATTTTTGGACATGTCTGTAACAAATGCGATATATTCTGACTGCTTGCCAATTTCTTTGGATGAAGCATACAGAGAATAATTCGCAATTGTCAGGGGAAATGGTAACTACGCAGCGCAGATTAAAAAAGGCGGCGTGGAGTCGTGGACAATCCTACGGGCCCTCTAGGACTCGAGAGTTCACTCACCGCAAACAGGCCCAGATCCTGCGTCAGGAACTTGGGCAGGTTGACGTCGGTGATAGAGCGCAAGATCAAGATGTCCTCAGATTCCTCGGGGAACTTGAGCTTCAGGTTACCGGCCGCCGTCAGCACAGATTTGACCGCTCGCATACCTGGGCCACGGAGGACGCAGTACGTTAGGAGCTGCCAGTCATTTAGTGTGTCTTCGTGTATAATGAGTCATGGGTACTGGGTAGCAAATACTCATGAACATAACTCGCGTGTGTTCTCAGACATATGCTTAGCCATCCGCACAATACGTGCCGAATATGTAGACTTGATAAGTCTGTTCTGAATATAAGACCGACATAAATCCCAAACAGATTCTACCAACATCGGGATGCAGCTTGAATCTCGGACGTCATCCAGCGCCATCACGTCCTCCTTCAAGCCATAGCCATCGGCCGACCCCACCGTCCTCACCGTAATCGTAGTGGGGCTGTGACGAGAGCTGCTCCGAGCACAGCCGGTAAGTAGCCACAATCTTGGTGGCCAGCGGCCGGGCGTTAACGAACCCGCACGAGTATAGCACGATCTCGGCAATCATGGCGTAGTCCGGCACCATCATGGCCACGGAGCGGAACAGCGCCTGGGGCAAGACAGACGATTTTAAACAAATGTGGGGCAACAGGTAACGCATTGTCATTATTCAAAGTAGCCATTTACCGTGAAACACAATCCCGGATCGGTAAAAGTACAAGGTCCGCAAAAGGCGTGAAATGTCAAATGTAGAAATTTGCTAGCGTCCGTTCTTAAATTCATAATCAGCATAAAGAAAAGTCTTTGAAATTATAATTTACAAATTCCATTCCATCGATGCCGATCCCCAAACGAACGTGGCTATTTACCTTCAGGTTATCGGGCAGCTCCGACCTGCCGGCGTATCCGGGGTTCATTGTGATGAACACGGCGCAGGTGGGGTCCAGGTGCAGCTCAGAGCCCTCGAACAGCAGCATGTCGGCGCCGGCGCTGATAGCCCGTGAGATGGTGAGGATCTGCTGGGCCACCACCGACAGCACCTCCAGGTCGATCCGGTTGAACTCATCGAAACACGACCAGGCGCCGCACGACGCCAGACCCTGACGGAAAGAATGGTGAGTGTCCTGTGATTAAATCGTTATGTCTGTACTCTAACCCCTACATGTTTTTGTTCCAACCCGACTCAGACTCTGGACTGTAATCGCCACGCCCCGTGTGGATTGTCCATGATTGTAATACATACATACATATATATGTTACAGGGAGTTTGAGAAATCCGTGAGTTTGCAAACTCCCTAGTGAGTTTGCAAACTCCCTGACCCATCAGTGACTTTGCAAACTCACTAGGGAGTTTGCAAATTCACTAGGGAGTTTGCAAACTCACTGACCGGTCAGGGAGTTTGAGAAATTCCAGAGCGATTGGGCCAAATAAAATCAAATGTGTAAGATGAGGGTGGCATACGTGCCGGCCGTGATGTTAAAACAAAAGCGACTAGTGGTACGGCCTATATAACCGTCGCACGCTGACAAAAAGCTTACAGATCCTTCATTGTTTTACCGAAAAAAATGCTACTCGCGGCTATGTAAAGGGGAGGTTCGGAGCAACGTGCTCCTCCGTTCCGTCGTTTCCATCCTCAGGAATCAGGATACTGAAATCCTTCTCGTCCACGCCGAAACCCCCACTCCGGGCTGGACAGGCACCTTTATCTCATGCCGGCTGCTCCCTTGGAGCGGCACCGCTGCTCCCGAGGGAGCGCACCCCGTAGCCGGGTGCAAAGAGTGCTTGGGGGGGGGGGGGGCTGGTCGGTCTGTCAATTCGGACGGGCTCAGCCCCGGCGACTCTGCATATAGGGTGTCTGCCCAGACCAATGTCTCCCCCTATAATTCCTATCATTCGTCCGACTCTGAAATGGTCTTGTCAGACCGAAAGGGCCTAACCCAACAAAACAAAAACAAACAAGCAGCGTGCGCCAGTCGCAGCTGGGCTGGCTGCCAGCGGCGCCGGCTCTCGATGACACGTCTATGGCGGAGTGGGAATGGGCGTGAATTGATGCGTGTGCCTGTACTTTAGCATAAGTGACCAACAGTGAGCTGTTTCTACTTTGATATATTTAGCCTGACTCTGGAATAGCCACACTTGAGTGGAACGGGTCTAATTGGGACGTGAACTAAATAAATGTAGGTAACTAAATAAAGCGGCGGTACATGCATGGGTAAATCACTGAGCAGTTTAAAATAAAAAAGGTATTTATGGTGTGCATATGATCTAAAAGCTTTTTGTCAGCGTGCGAGGCCTTAGAGCTAGCCTCCTTTGTTTTAACATCACAGACGGCACGTATGCCACCCACATGCTGCACACTTGTTTTTATTTGGCCCAATCACTCTGAAATTTCTCAAACTCCCTGACCGGTCAGTGAGTTTGCAAACTCCCTAGTGAATTTGTAAACTCCCTAGTGAGTTTGCAAACTCACTGATGGGTCAGGGAGTTTGCAAACTCACTAGGGAGTTTGCAAACTCACGGATTTCTCAAACTCCCTCTAACATATACATACATACACATGGGTGGGAGCACGGAGGTCAAACTCAGGAAGGGGAGGGACAGAGAGACAGAAGAGAGAGGAAAGGGTGGTGCAGGATACCGTGCGCCAGCCTGGCAGCTGTCTATAGGATGCTGACATGAAAGCAAATTACATTCAAGCAAAATGCAAGAGCGTTGAAGAACACGAAAGAATCAAAACCAATAAAACCTTTTTGCCCAAACGCTTAAGGAAAAGAAAGCGAAATCGAATAATTGGAGTGTACAGCTAATACAAGCCTTTATCAATTTCATTAATGCGTCTCGAGCAACATTTAATGTGACCGACCTTGAAGAACTTTCCGAGCGCGATGTAGTCGAGTCCGTCGGAGCAGTTGAAGACGACGCACTGCTTGGCGACGGCCTTGGCCAGGTCCTTGGTGGTTTCCGTCTTACCGGTACCAGCCGGACCCTCGGGCGCACCGCCTGACCACACGGCGTCAGTTGTGACGGTAAAGTATCGGTGGCGGTTTAGTGCAGTGGGGTTAGTAACTGCGATTTAACCTTTCTCGTCGAGCAACTAGCAAGGCATCAGAGTAGTCACTCTCGCAGAGACCAGGAATATGGACGGAATGAGGATGAGGAATGAGGAAATGTAAAAAAAGAACAGCTGACGTGCTAAACGTTTGACAGTTACACCTTTTTACGCCCAATTTAGGCGGAAGTGCACACATGACATGTTGATTTCACACACGAGCATGCTCCACATTTCTTCTTAAAGCCGCAGGTATCTCAGCCGCACGCTGCCTCACCCAGCCCAAGTGACCAAATACACCAGAGGCAGTTGCTGCACATACCACGTCCTGACCTGGCACCCAGTCGCGGTGACCTATCCCACCCTCAGCCCGCCGCGCTGACCACCCCACTGACCCAGATGAAGGTGCAGCGCGCCAAACAGTGTCCGGTAGCATCTGTCCGTCAGTGGGGTGATCACCAGGCGCGGCGTGTTGCCCAGGTACTCATAGCCGTACATCAGGGTCGAGTTGATCATACGTGTCGCCAGCCGCTTCTCCTGCGGGGCCAGGCGGCAGACGGTGATGTCAAAACATGACGCCGTGGCAGGATCGAGACGCGTGACAGGGAATGGGGAACAGCTGACTGCCAGGCTATAAAAATGCATCCTAGCTTTGTGGATCTTTACGTGCCAGCACATTAACTGAACGATTCGAGGACGCGTTCCAGAGTGTCGCCTTTTCATCGTTATCTCAGTGACTTATTTTTTTTTTTTGCACCATTTGGAATAATACTGCATATCACACTCATCCTCCCAGGTGCTTAGCGTCACAGCCCGCGCACTTCACGCCCTCTCAGCAGTAACGCGTCTCTGTCAGCCAGGCGAATCGTTCTGCCAGTTCCTCGCCGTTCCGGCCTGTAATTGACCTCACCTCCTAGTAGTAGCCCGTACTCTGCGCTAGCCAGGCGAAGTCATTATCCCCGGTCCTGAACGTTCCAGCCTAATGAATGGTCCTCACCTCCCAGTAGTAGCGTGTCTGCGCCAGCCAGGCGAAGTCGTTCTCCGACTCCACCTTGCTGTTGATCAGTGAGGCCAACACGTCCTTGGCGTGGACGTCCAGCACCACCAGAGCGCCTGGAGGTGGACAAATGGGCACGTTAAGTTAGATACAGGTCAGGACAGTAAGAGTGGCTTCGTTCTGGCGAAACTGCTCATCGAGGCTTGAGATGGGAAATGACTAAAACCCAGCCGTTGTTGTGACGGACAAAAGCAAGGAGTTGTACACTTCAGAACTAAATAAGGAAGGCAAACGACTCGCAAGGCCAACGACTCTAGAGTTTGCCAAGCCTCTAGCCTAGCTCTCACGGCCGGTCAGTTCCATTATTGCAACATCTGACTCCTAGATCTAGAAATTTAGTCAGGCTTAGCGACTTTGGTAAATTCTATAGTCTCCCTTTATGGCAGGCATCACGTTTGTCAGATAATCCCAGCACCATTGCAGCTCATCTCCTGGAGACTGACCGAGCGTGGTTCGGTTCTGTCGGGACAGTTTTCCCCGCACTAGCTCCACGATCTTGGAAATCTGGTCATTGTTCTGCTTCAGGTAGGCGTCCATCGCCTTCTTCCCAGATCTATAAAAAAGAGCGGTCAAAGTGAAGCATACATATAATAATTGTGGCGTGATAAACCTCAGTCATAGCTTACATGTACATCACTGCAAGCATAATTTAACGCGATGAACCTTCACTTGAAACGTTAGTCTTCATGCCTACAGCCCATTACCACCCTGAGATTAGACTACGGCAAGCACAGCCTGGCCAGTGTTCAACAATAAATAATAATTAATCATATCTACAAATAAGCGACTACAATTTAAAACATCGCCCGCACCAACCTGATGGACTTGTGCACGTCGGCGGTCCAGTATGTCTGTGACACGCAGAGCACAATCTGCCCGGGCCAGGAGAGCACCCAGTGCTCCCTGACGTCCCCGGCGTACGAGTCCATGCCCAGCTCCACCTCCTGCAATAAGAACAGTAGACTAGGCCGGTGATCAATCATCTGCAGTGTTTACGAAGCTCCCCGAGGTCTTATGCATATGCAAATGACCCTTCAGCTGCAACGTTTTCACCGTCGCGACGCACATCGCTCATATTCACCTTCCCGTTTCCAACTCCGCTCATTCTACCTCCCCTCTCACTCATTTATCATGTCCCACCCGATTCCCTTCACTCTGTTATCCATGATTGCTCTCTCCCTTGAATCACTATCGCCAACGACTTACGTGCTGCAGACTGCTCTTCATCAACGACTCGAGCTCGAGCAGCCACTTTTCCACTTGGCCGCGGGCGCGGGCTGTCGATATCTCCTCGAGCAGTTTGATGACCTCGCCCTCGCTCGACTTCATGTGTGTCACGTCCAGCGTCTCGGTGAACGTCAGGGAGGCGATACCCTCGAAACACTTCTTCAGGTGCGGCTGCACCCTGGGAAATGAGAGTGGGAAGGATAGTTTAGAGTGCAGGGGAAGCGCAGAAACGAGATGCCCCGCAAGCCACTCAGTGCAAAATAACGTCCTGCACTCGATTTAAAATCATGGAAAACTCAATATCAACTAGTATCCCGCCACCTCCGCGTAATGTTCCTCAACAGGACGGTTTTAGTCGTCCCCGCCCCGTCACTGACCGAGTGGGGTCCTTGGTCTCGGACAGGATCTCCAGCAGCTCGTCGTTGGACAGGAAGAAGAACCGGGGGAAGTACAGCCGCTTCTTCTCCAGGTAGTCGTTCAGGCCCTTGAGGATCAGCTCCAGCAGCTCGTTGGATTTCTTCAGCCTTTCCAACATCTTTTCCACGTCGATGACGGCAAGAACATGCGTGTCCACCAGGGCGGCCTTCATGATATCGCGCCAGTTCTGAACGGGGAGGGGACGCAGAAGAAACGTTAGACATCACATAAGTCCGAGGCATAGCGGGGTATCCGGCCATATCGCGGCGAGGCGTTTCACGAAAAAGTGCAGCTGGCCTCCACGGCGACTTTCAGGATAATAAGTACGTCATACGTTGAGTCCAGCTGTATAATTTTCAGTGCGTGATTCGACCGTATTGATCACGATTCTTGAGTGTATGATGAACTGCATAACGTCAGCACTTCGTCTAAAAACGACCGTCTCACACGCCATACACTCGGCGTAATATGACGGTAATTAATACACATAACCCAAAACGTGTGCGATGTAATAAAGGTCATTGAGCAATTAAGCACACATACCTTATCGACGGTGGTGAAGCGTCGTCCTTCCTCGGGCATCTGGGACATGATGTCGGGGCTGGAGAAGATGGGCTCCAGGTACAGCCAGGTGATCTGCACCTTGAGCCACTCGTCCAGGATCTCCTGCAGGTCGGACCGGGGGCGGGGGCGGGCGGTTAGCGGCCAGGTAGGATCAAAATGAACACATGTGAAGATGGAGATTAGCGGACCACTCGAAGGACTCTTGAATGTCACGGAAAACGCGATCTAAAGGTCCGTAGAAAACTAGGTACATGACTTACGCGTAGAGTTATTACACTCACAAGCATGTGAGTAAGTCAATCGAAATTCGATTTATACAAAGAGACAGCAGTTTTATCAGCCTATGCGAGTGGCAAAGAACTAACCGGTGTCCTTTTTACCGACCTGCAGATTAGTGAGCGTCTTCTCCCACTCGCAGATCTGTTCCTCGAACGGTTTGATGAAGGGCGAGCCACGCATCGTCTGCGTTTTCACCAGGTGGTCGTCCAGCATCAGCTGGATCTCGTCCAGCGACGACAGGATCGACGTCCCAGACTCCCTGTCGGTAGAGTGAGGGGTATACATTTAATACAGGTGATTCTCGCCATTTGCGACATTTTCGGGAAGATCAGACACTTCATCTAAAGGATAGGTGACAGACTTGACATGGAATCATCGAACTTTATCTGCTTCCAATCCTTTATTTTCGCCGAGAGGACGTCTCTTCCAGGACAGGTGAAGTATTTACCTGTAGGGGACAATGTTGAACTCCATGTCCTTCCATTCGGCCCTCATCTTGTCCATGGCTCTTTCGAGATTGTACTCCTTGGTAGCTGACTCGCTGATGCTCTCAAACTTGCTGTCAAAATCAGGAGATACAAAACGTGTTTAAACATCGGCAAATATCGCCAAACGAGAGTAACAAATACAGATACCGACTGAGAGGTAGTAACGCTAATAATCTCTATCCCCTTCGTCTTAAAAATACGTCACACTGCGGTCGTTCACCAGAATTATCGATCGACAAGCTCCTACGACAGCCTGAACTTCTCTCACAATACAGCATCGCCCGTACCGACCTGATTTTTTGTTTTTGTTTGTTGGGTTAGGCCCTTTCGGTCCAATGAGACCATTTCAGAGCCGGGAGGATAATAGGATATAAGGGGAGACATTGGTCTGGGCAGGCATCCTAGTGAGTCGCCGGGGCTGAGCCCGTCCAGAGGACAGGCCACCCAGCCCCAAGGTACTCACTGCACCCGGCTACGGGGTGCGCTCCCTCGGGAGCAGCGGTGCCGCTCCAAGGAAGCAGCCCGTATGAGATAAAGTTGCCTGTCCAGCCCGGAGGGGGGTTGCGGCGTGGAGGAGAAGGATTTCAGTATCCTGAGGATAGATTAAGCACGGAACGGTGTGACCGACCTGATGTAGTCGGTGAGATTGAGGTCTATGATCTTTGCCAGTGTGGTCTCCGAATCAGCCTTGATCGGGAATCCGACAATCTCGGAGATTTTCTCCCAGTGGCGGTCGCGCAGGCCCGGGTTTCCCAGAGTCTGTACCTCAGGCACGTGGGCGCGGAATCCGTCGATAGCCGATTTCACCTGCAGGGAAGGACATGACATCATGGATATGACGAGAAGAAAGATATTGTGTAAGGTTGGAGTAAAATCATATTGCTTGCTCACTGCTCAGGTAAGCACGATACATAACATTACAGCCGGCATTTATTTGGCCTTCAAATGTTTGGCAACACTTATGGTTTGAGCGGTAGCCGTACCTCCAAGAGCAGGTCGCGTGCCGGTCCCTCGTTGCTGAAAGACTTCTCCAGCTTGTAGATGCTGCGGAAGTATCCGTCCGTCTCCTGGTCAATGTCCTCCGGCTCGTACGCTCCCAACTGGCCACACACAGAACAGGCAACGTTGAAAGAGAGACAGTGAATCGCCGCACCCCGCATCACTCAAATACGAAATGCTCAGAACAAAACACTTTGTTCACAAAGACCACGATGAGGTTCTCTCTTAAATAACCTAAGCTTGAGTGGCCATGCAAACTTAGTCATATGCTGTCTATCAAACGCAGACAACAGCTCGAGTCCCCGACCGTTCACTGACCGGCGCGCTCATCCAGGAGTCGTACTTCACGCTGAACTCGACCCCGTTGGTGTACAGGCGGAGGTAGGGATTCAGCTTGTCGGCCACCTGAAACACACATAGATCGAGACATGGTGTGGCGATTATAGCAAATATATTAACACGTTGACGCAACAACATCGTCGACAGAGTATTACAGAAAGCATGCGGGCAATTAGTGCGACAGAGTAAAACACTGCTATCATTCCTCACAAAAAGCAGTCGAATATTTAACCGTCTTTCTCTCTATATCTACTTTTTATCTCACAAGCACCACCTCGCCGTGCTTCTCACCTCCTTCCTACGCGGGTAGTTGGTGACCTCCCACTCGAACGCCTCCTCCTCGTCATTGATGGCCGTCGTCTTGTCCAGCGCCTGCTGTAGCTTCTCCTCCAGGCCCTGAGCGCGCTTCAGGTACCGCGGCAGTTCGGGCAGCTCTCCCAGCTCTTCCAGCTCCTCCACCTGCTTGTTGTATGTCTCCAGCTCCTCCAGAAAACGCTCACGCCGTACCTGGAGAAGGGTGGTGAAACAAGGGATAGGGGGGGGGGGGGGGCGGTCAGGAAATGCACAGGGAGCGGCGGGATGCAGAGAAGGGCGTTGATGATCTACGCGTACAGTAGAAGACTCTGGCGACCAGTCGGTATCAAAAAATGCATACGCCAACAGTCGAAAAAGGAAGAAAATTCCAAGAAAACAACGATCAAGTTCATGATAGATAACAACGTTACGGTAGATATCGTGCGGTGGACTGGGTTTGACAATCAGCATCGAACTGTTGTTCTGGAGGCATAATTTGGTGTCAACAACAAGAAGGCCCGACTCACGCGCTCTCACGTTCTCCTCTCCCAGTTCCCCTGCTCCCTTGCACTCTAACCTTGAGTGCCTCCTCGAACTCGACCCTCTTCTGTCGGTAGATGGAGCGTCCTTCGTCGAACACGGCTGGTATGCGCTGGTGCCACAGGAACGTCTCTGTGTTGTGACGCAGGTCGGCCGATGAGAACTCGGCGTAGTCCGACAGGAACAACAGGTGCGAGAATATCTGCAGAGGGCAGACACGGGTGGTTGGATAGGATGCTAGGGCAATGGTCAGCCATCTTATGCTAAGATTGAAATTATGATGGGGAGAGTCACATCCAGGGCACTGCAGCGAAAGGCTCAGAGGAGACGATACACGATAGTACTTTTGACAAAGCCATGAATGCAATTAAGCTAGGTATCTTCGAGATGTTCTATCTCCATAAATGCCATATTAGGTAGTTAGGGTTCATGAGTTACCAGAAAATAACTCGCTTTCAACCTCAAATATTAAATACAATTCCGATGTCGAGCATACGCTCTGCCGCGGTTAGTTCAAATGAAACCACCCCTAAAGCCTGCCGCATAGCCGACCACTCATACCGGCCCTCTCTGCCCCGTCCGCGGTCCGTACCGTTCTGAGCTGATCCTCCATCTGCGGGATGCGCACCGACTCCGTCTGGTCCACGTACTCCTTGAGTTCCATCAGCTGGGCAGTGTTGGACGGCACCGTCAGGGACTTGTCTGTTATCTGCTCGTACTCTTCAGACAGTCTATGGCGCACAGAACAAAGAGAGGTTACGTAATTACCGATGCAGGGCAAATATTCGGATCCCATTGGAAATTAAAGGAAAATTTCAGAAAGACTGCGATTGGAGTCCATTGCTTATTAAATGTTACATATTTCTCTTTAATCATGTGAGATATTTATACAAAATATCGCATTTCTTGTAAGCACTGCCAGTATCAAAGCGTTACTTTAAAATCCGGCGCCATTTGCAGAAAGCTGCGACAATGTCCGGGCGACCCACGTTTTGTTAGTGGCGTTGTGGTTAGCCAGCATGTTGTGCAGTATCTTGTCGCGCAGGCCAGTGGCTAGCGATACCAGATCCTCAGTGAGTGTGTCGCAGCGGAGTTCAAACATGCCCAGACGGATCACCTGCCGCGGCGGCACATGCCAGTGAAGATATAACAAAGGAGATAGAGGATGGCTGTTAAAATATCGGCAACCGGCGTTGTTACATCGGACACCAGGTAATGGCAAACCAGAGAAATTTCGAAAGGGGAGATAACTAAACGAATGGATTTAGGCAAATTTGATGATTGTTTTGCGGCAAAATGGTATTTGTATAGTTTCCCAGCAGCTGGGAAACTATACAAATATCCATCATATAACGAAAACAACATAATAATATCAGACTCCTGTTCCTAAAAGAACAATGTCAGTGCTCTCACAACTTCCCTAACCCCTCCCTTTACCATTAAGATCAGCTGCTCTCCAGCCCCATCCCCACCTTGGCGGACTCGCAGTTGATCTCATAGCTGAGCTCGTGGTAGAGCACCACCTGCTCCTGGTACTCCTCGAATGGGTGCTGACCCGACAGGAACTCCTCCACGTCAGCGTTGGCCTGGCCGCTGATCAGGTACTCGTACCGCTCGTACCTGGAGAAAATGGTAGAGTGGTACCGAGAACGGGTACAGAGGATCGCCAGTTTGTCGCATGTGGTAATTACCTATCGTAATTAATATTATCGAGTCTAAAATCGAGATCCTTGCGTTACTGAAATATTGTGGACAAGCTCTGGTTACGCTAGCTACAATTTATATAAGATAAAAGGAGGGATTAAAATATGCCGAAAAGATAAAAATATTACGTTTTATTCGAAGTTATCGCATTTTTACTTTCAAGGCATAAAATTACAATTTGCGCCACTTGCACGAAGAGAACAGATTGGTGACGGAGCGACGATACCAAACTACCACACTCACGTCTATCGCAATCATTCCACTTAGCTACTAACCTCCTCACTAAACCCACGTCCCAAGTCATCCCGTTATGGCGTTACGTATCTACCCTCCCACAGAGTCCGCCATCCACACTGACCAGAGGGCGTGCTCCTTGGGTCCGACCGACTGTTCGGCCACCACGGCTCGGACCCGCTGCTTCAGACTCTCCACTATCTCAGGGAGAACCACCGGCTGGACGGACAGGCGGGGGAAAACGGTTAGGTGGTGAAACGGCAAACTGCCTTTATTGGATGTCTATGGTCAAAGCCATCAAACTAAGCAATTCGCCCGATTAAAGGATCATTTGCTGACTGCTCATAATTAGGTAACACATCGATATTTTTTTCTTTTGGAGGAGAGGGTACATGCAAGCCACTAAGTTTTAGACATGTATCGTGAGACAGCGACGAACTTGCAACTATTTTATGATAAATCCGCAAACCATCACCAGGTCATGAACAGCCTTACCTTCAGGTACTGGGCCCGTCCAGGCCAGTCGAGGAACACGCGCGTCTCTGCCCGTTTCAGCTTCTGCACGGCGGCGATGATGCGTTCAAACACGGCCAGCAGCTGCTCCTCGAACTCGTCCACGGTTGGCTGGAAGTGCAGCTCGCCGCCCGAGCGGACCAGGTGCAGCACAAACCCGCGGCTCTAACGGTAAAACACGGCGTCAGCGGCTACAGAGCGAGCCGGGTGCAGCACAAACCTGCGGCTCTGATGGCGACACGAAGTGGTAGGGGAAGCCACCAGTGCCACAACCACCATGCATCGTCGAATGTAGCCTAAAGTCATTCATAATGAACTTGGTATTAATGCACCGATGGGAAGGAAAAGCATTTTGGGTACGCTAGAATCTGCATAAACGCAGGAGTCACCGAAGGCTTAATGGTCTAAAAGAATTACCAGTGGTTAAAATTGACGGCAGTAACTGAAAACACCCAGGAACTCAGACACATCAATAGCGGACTAGCATAGTAGATGATTATTTTCCTTGATTCAAACGTAATTACCGCCACAAATGCATCAGCGTATGAGTACAATCAACAGACATTTACTCCCACCATTCAAACCATGAAACCGTCTCACTGAGTCCGATCCTCACCTTGCTGCTGCACAGCATGTCCGTGTACTCCCAGATGGTGTGCAGCAGCAGGTTCTGCACGTTCATCGACATCAGCGTGGCCACCGCGTTGAAGAACGTCTCTAGCTTGTCCGGCTGGCTGAGCGAGGGCATCATGTTTCGCTTGGCGCCCTGCCAACCGACGCCAGACGGTCACCGACGCGTCGTCTATCGGTCGGTGTCATATTACGCATCGTTACGACGGCGGTGCCGCCCGTCGGTGGTGTCGGGTATCAGGCGATGGCGAGCAGCTCACAAGCCCCGAGCGAATTTGTGAAATGAATTGACTCGCCTTTACGCACCTCACACGACATCTGATCTGGCAAAATGTTCTTGTTCACTTATTGCTACTGTTTATCGGTAGCTTACAACCGATACCTAAAAACACACACAAGTATGTTCATAATTTGCCAGAATATAAATAAAATGGGAAAAAGTCATTCTAGCTTGGCATCACCAGTTCCGTTAGGCGTCAATTTAGCCCCAACGCTCACCCGTAGCCAACACACTCCTTCCCGACTGCCGGCCGTCACGGTGCGGCTGACTTACCTGCATAAGGATGTGATGGACGGCCGGAAACCAGTCGTGCTCCAGTGCCTCCATGGTCCGCGCAATGTGCTCCTCCAGCAGGTGGTTGAACTCTGAGAGCTCCAGCGCTGGCTCGGCAGAGTACAGCTCACTCGAGTCCAGCAGCCGCAGCTCACTGCCATGCGGACACACGCACAGTTGCACAAACGCATCGGAAAGGAACGCCACGGTCTATAAAACTGGGATATTATACCCGTCAATTACAAGTTACGAAGATGGCGAGGGACTGAGATCGACAAACCAGCTTTTGGTCACGGTTGTCTTGAGTCGCCAAAACACCAACTTCCGCGGAATAAAAAATATCACGCCGGCAACGTACGGACCGAGCACCATCACACAGCCACACCCTCCCACTGGGATGCCAGTCACAACCTCACTAAAATCACCGAGTCCGACACACCGACGACGTCGCGCAGCGTCGGCCCGCGCGGCGAACGCCTGAAGGCTAGACTGACCCGCCGTACACTGACGTTCTGCGGCACAGTCTACCTCACCGTCGCCCATCCCACCGCCGCGCTGCAGCGCTGCTGACCATTCGTCTGCGTTCGGCGTTTCTCACCTGAACTGTTTGTACCAGAGGTCGAGGATCTGCAGCAGACACGTGTTGATGGACCACAGGTTGAAGAAGATGAGTCGCCGGTGGTGCAGGAAGCTGTGTCTCCACGGTGACGGGGTGACCCGCAGCTCCAGACGGTGGGGCAGAGTCGGTGGCGGCTCGGCGTAGTCCTGGCGCAGAGGCGAGTGAGGAAGAGAAATACAGCAGGCACCAGCTTTTCTGCTTCAAATTCCACTTGCAATAATGATTCTCCGTGCGTCATGGAAAACTGACTAATTACATAAAATATTGGCAGATACGCAGGAGCGCAAAAAAAAAAAAAAAACGAACGATAGCCACCGCAACTGACGCCGCTATTACCTGTCCCGGCCTCTCCGTTAGAATGTAGTCGACCACCGCCTTCTTCACACCAAACAGATACTCCTCCGTCAGCTCAATGTGCAGCTTCTCCAGCGGCTCAGCCCGGCTCTGAAATCGGCGACCGTCGTCAAATCACTTGACACTGACAGTAATTATTGTAGGTAAGTACATACAACTCGCACTACTGCCACGAACGCTTCGCACAAATTCAGAACATTTTAAACGCCTGCTGAATTAAAAACTTCCCTCTAGTCCCAGTAATCCACAGCAGAGTCGGCAGAGCCTACCAGCCGACCTCAACCCACCCGGAGTTTGGCGGCCAGCATCGAGTCCATGTGCTGCAGCCACTGGTCGGCCATGGGAGCCACCTGGCCCGTCTCGATGCCGTTGTGGATGTAGTAGTAGTAGCGCAGCAGCGCCCGCTCCTGGGCAGACGGGTCGGCGCTGCTAGACTCCGACACTGGCGGGCACAGACGGTAGTTGATGCGGTGGGTGCAGAAATGGAGAGTGGGATCAATTGTACGGTGGACGATGGGGCGGTGCTAAAATTGAGAAGACGTTAGACAGCGACGATAGATGAACGATAGTTGAACAATTATGTTGGCCGGCTCTTCGTTCTGTTCTAGATAAACTCGGTTACGACCGTTATTAACGTTCTGATACCTATATTAGACGTTTTATTAGCCTTTCCTTATGGGAGAACCGCCTTTCTATCATACATCGCTGCTTAGCGCAGGAGTCGCTAAGCACTCCCCTCTCTATCACTAAGCACTAGCTCAGCTCTCCCCCATTTCATCGTTCCACGGTCCACTCACGGGGCACGGGCAGCTCTGTGACGGACCCGGTGCGGGAGGCCGGCCCGCTGGTCAGTGTGTCGTCATCATTGGAGGTGAGCAGCTCCACCAGTCGGCGGCGGAACTGTTCCCGGTCCACCCGGCACTGCAGGTACGACTGGGTGGCCACCTGACAGCAAACGACGGGCGACGGCGGAAATGAGAGCGCAGTACATTACTACATATGTACATGGACTTCATCTGACCCACTCCGATCAAAACTACTGGTCAAATCAGGAAGGTAGCTAAGCCTTTATATTCAAGAACGATTATGCCTGTAGACGTCAAGGAAACAATGAGACGAGTGCGGCGGACAAGAGCAGCGATGGAAAACGTATCAATCACGCACTTCCTTGACCGAATTGCAGCATTCCACAACACGGAACACCCACACCTTTTCCTCAAGCCATCCTGTCATCTCCCTAGTCACCTTCTTGGCCGGTCGCGTGAACTTGTTTCGTTTGATGACGCATCGTTCGGCGATGTGCGGCGGCACGGCGCCACGGCGCCGGCCCGGTCCGGTGGCCGGTAGACGGAACAGCGGCTCGGTGGCCGGCGGCTGACTGCGGTCCGATCCGTACCGGGCGAACGGTGTGAACACCGGCGGCTCCTGCAGCCACGGCGGCTGCTCGCGCCGCAGAGACATCTCCGGTACGAACTGACTCGTCTGCGGGAGGGGGGGGGGGGGGGGGGAGGTTATACATCTACCGGAGCCGTGCTGTCTTGTGACCGTGAGAGGCCTAGTGAATTGACGATAACTGATAACGTTTAATTCATTTAAAGGTTAGATATACTGAATAAAAGCGCACACTAAAAATGTTTGTCGAGGCGTGACAAAAATTTTCCCATTAAACACGCGTCAACTATGAAACACAATAACTTGATCATTCAACGGCTACTTTTGCATATACTGTTACGCGTCGCTTATTTTCCTTCACACCGATATACGTCAGAACAGGGCTCAAAAAAGATGTTTGGTGGTCGCCGACCAAAAGTTTTATTCATATTGTGGTCGCAGCACCGGCTGCCCAGTGCCAACTGCCCATGGCTCTTGTTGTCGGACACGCAAAGGAACGTAACCCGGCAGGCGGTGGGCCTACCAGCCACCTTCCGCGCGGTGGGGGGGAGGCATTTTTTTGCCCCCCCCCCCCCCCCTCCTATCTCCGAAACTACTGGACGGATCCGGAAAATTCAAACGGCGTTCGATAGCCCTGTCAAATTTGTCGAAAGAAACCAAATTTCATTGACCTCGGGGTCACCGATGACGTCACAGGTCAGGTCAAAGATAAAATGTTTCACCGTTCACGGGGTTCTAGGGAAAGTGCTATAACACCGAGTAAAACGCATTTTGTCGAAAATCAGCGATAAGGCGTCAGTTTTCTAGTACATATGTTGCTATTAGAGGTCACTGGTCACACCAGGTCAGGTCAGAGGTCAGGTCACCAAAGGTCACCAAGGGTCACCACATGAACCCAACTTTACTAAGGTTGTGCGATGCATGTTTTATGGCCAGTTTTTCATTTCCAACTCAATGGTATTGGTTATAAGACCATCAGGTACGGTTTATGTCACTTTCTGGTGGAGGTCAGGTCAAGGTCAGGTCAAAAAAGGTCAAATTTCAAAGTTGATATTTTTGCATAAAATGGGTATCGATTCGATGCAGCTCGTCACGGGGAGTCTAATGGTGGTCTTTGTTTTGCGCTACGAGGTCTAGAATTGCTAAAAATTGAGTTTGAAAATTTGACGTCATCAATTTTGAACAGTTTTTTCGCTATAACTTGGCCAAAAAAAGAGGTATTGATCTCAAATTTGGTATGTAGATAGAAGGCGGTAGGGACTATCACATATATTCCGTTTTTTTCGAAATTCAAAAAACTTTTTGGATTTTTCGGCTATTATTTTCAAAAAATCTATTTTTTGATTTTTGGGGGTCAAAATCCAAAAAATTCGAAAAACCGAAATAGCAGTTTTGTAGCCCTCTTAATTCCACATCTTTTATGTCTGAATCATTTTATTTTTCTGTATCTCTAAAGCTGTAGGCCTGACAGCTCTTCCCGCGAAACCTTTTTTTGGGTCGAAAATGGCAAAAATGACGTCACTCTGACGTCATTAGCGGCCAACCTATCATAGCCTTTGGAAAAAGTTTTGGTCACCATGTGCGCTAGCTACTCCCGGGAGGGTACTGAAAGTTTGGTGACGATCGGCGCAGCGGTTCTCGAGATATATCGAAAAAACTAAAGGGGGGGGCAAAAAAATGCCCCCCCCCCACCGCCTGGAAGGTTAAGCCTTCTAATGCTGCTATTCCCAGCCCCGTAGCCCGTATCAAGCGCCACCAATGTGCACGAGTCTGCAATTAAGTACAACATGGATTAAAAGCAGTGGTTTGATCGCTAACGCTGCGTTCGGACAGCCCAGTTTCCACGTGGAGTTTCTACGCCGATGAGCTCCCCACGAAAACGCCTTTCGGCCGTTTGGCGATAGCGTTTCGCACTGACCAAACTGAATTCCTCGGCGTGGAAGTTCCACGCAGTGACCGGGCTGTCCGAACGCAGCCTAAATACACCATAACAAACAAGAGTGAAATTTTGCGCCCCAATCCCTATCCCTACCCCTCCCCTGGCTGACCCGACGGACGCCATACCTCCCCTCGGCGTCCCTTCCCCCACGGCGGCAGTCTCACCCGGCCGCGCGCCGGCGCGGTGGGTGAGCGTCCCGTCCCGCCACGCCGCGTACCTACTACGTAGTAGGAGACCATCTGGGCGACCAATGAACGGCGCTCGTCGGCGATTTTGACAACCACTCTTCCCCATTGGTTTAACACGGGTGGTCGCACAGAAAACGCCGACGAGCGCCGATGGGGAAGCGTGGTAGTATTCCCGTGTACGGAAGGTGGTAGTTTATCCTACAACAGTGGTATGTTAGCCCACCGTCCAGTGTCCAGGTTGTACCGTGGAAATAACCATGACAATTGACTAGATGATGCGCATAAGTGATGCTGAGGCTATGTCAATATTCCTACCAATATTTATGTAGCTTTTCAAAGATATTCTTCAAAATTTGTTTCATATTTCGCGTTTTTGGTCGCACCATTGGGAAATGTTATGCATTCGTGGTCGCCGACCTCATCGGCAGGACGGAGCTTTATTTGAGCCCTGCGTCAGAAGTCGTAGCACTACAGCAGAACCTCCTCTGTCACCTGATCGTTGACATCTTTCGGTAGTTTACTGTGCGGGGCGAACTCTTCCCTCTTGTGTGGGATGGGGGCGTTGTAGTGGGGCTTCTTCACACACGGAGAACCGCCGCCCGTTGGCTTGATGCTCGGTCTTCTTTTGGAGCCGCGCATGGCGCTCCCTAAAATAGACAAATTTATAGCAATGATACATTAGACGCGTTTACATAGGGTTTGTTGCAAGCTTATATCTCCGTCCGTGATGTTGCAAAAAATGCCAATGGTGCTGAACAATTTACAAAATGATCCCCTCTAAATATTTGAAGACCACTGCATCGAAATTATGGCCAAATTAACGAGCTAGAGCCTCGTCAAATATGCTATGTAAACCGGGTTATTGACATCAGTGACGGAACGCCGATGAGCCAAATGCATTTCGAATCTCAATTGTTTCCATTTGCACGTAATCTAGTCTCTAGAACACTTTTAAATACTGGTGAAGCTGAAAAATATAGTGAAAATTGAACATTGATATCCTGCTTTTCAAACCTCAACCTGAACCTCACTGAGTCTCACTCCCAGCCTCGGAGCTCGAATCTACTTATTGAGCTAAAATTGAGTGAACGAAATGTCAGTTAAAGTGGAAATGGCTAACGCAACAATATTATAGCAGACTACTGAAAGTCATCTACATCCGTACCCTTTCGGATGCCAACCAAAAGGCAAAAAAAAAACGACACAGTCCAACTATCTCACCGGAAATCAGGTGATATTTGACCTTGAAGAAACATATATGTTGCTATAGCAACGAATCCTTTTATCAAGTGCATTGAAAAATAGTTTTAAGTTTACTTTTCTTTGTCCTTCCTGTGATACTTTTAGATTTTATTGAACAATAATTTTACGAAATGTACAGTTTTTGAAATAAAATGAATATATTCAAATACCACATCTACATGACAAATGCATGCAAAATTTTACGATTATTTCTAATGGCAGCAGTAATTGCGCGACTGAGACCATAAATGACGCACCACCTTCTTTTCGCTGAAAGGCGCGCGCAGTGTTGCCGTCCTGGTACTATAGTACCAGATCTGGTACTTTTTCGACCTTTCTGGTACGGAGGTACGCCGGAACGAAATCTGGTACCTACTTTTTCGCCGAAATGCATTCTTGGCATTTTAATATTTCTTTCAAGCTAAAAAAACAATTATTTTAGTCAGGGAGGATGGCGTTTCTTATCATAATTTGTCATGCATCAGATTCGGAATTATCAATAGGCCTACTACCTATTCCTGTTGTGTGCTAGCAGAAGTAAAAAGTGGGAAATTCGCGCGCCACGCCGGCTGCCAAGGACAGGCCGCCGGCTGCAGGCCGAGGCAGTTGTTCCAAGGCCATATAAGAGTTTGGGTCGTGAGTTGGGAATCGGAGTTGTATTGTGAACAGTGAAATGTGAGTTGCGTCGACGGTCGAAGTGCTAAGGAAAGAGCCTTATTTGAATCAGTGACCCAAAATTGTGCGATTTGGTTTGAAAACTAAATGACACCCAACAAATAATAATTTTCCATTCTCACTGGCATAATACTGTGGCAATTTTCGCTCCTTCATTGCAAGCTAGGATCCTGGGTGCAATCAGCAGTCTCAACGGTACACTGGAGTGCCCCCCCCCCCTCTCGAAGGCAGGATTTCGATTTTTATTTTTAGGCCAATTTTAGGTACATATGAATTCGGGCTTTCAGAAGAGCACTTTTCTGCCTTTATGGGGCGACGCGGGGAGACGAATGAGTCGAATTACTTGGTCAAATGGGTCATAAATTACTTGCTGGCATGAACATACCGCAATTATGGCTATTTTTATAGTAATGAATTAAAAACGTTTTGACCTTCTGCGATCTGGTACGGTACGCAGCCAGAAACAGCCAATCTGGTACGATTTGGATGCGCTCTTGGTACGCTGTAAAATCTGACCACGGCAACACTGGGCGCGCGTCGTGCGTGCGCGGTGTGTGAATTGGGATGCTGGTTTTGTGGATATTTATCAAAGGTAAATGTGTTCTTTAATTATTCCCTTAAGTTTCCCATTGCACGATACAGCAGTCTTCAATGAATAAGCTTGAGATTGTGTTGCACTTTTGACCTTAGGAAGCTTTTTAGCAATTGCATATCAATACCTATTGCATTGAGACCATCACCATTCCAATTCACATTGAGACTGACTAGACTGAGTGAAAGTTTTGGGATTCGGATTGAACTAATGCATTTCCATGCACTTTTACAGTGGTATATGTATTTTTGTTATGCTGTCCATGAAAGAACTATATCCCTCAACGTTTTTGCAGACTTTGGTAAAATTGCTGTATTGTACCCTAGGCACTAAATTAAATAAAATGAAAACCACACCATATTGCCACAAACAATAGTTATATTGGCATAAAAATTATTTATACAATCACCTACTTCATAAATATCAGGTACTCTACTCTATAAGTAGAAGGTAATGCAACCAGTATAACGCCTTTTGGGGCGACTAACGGAGCGAGCGAGAGGGTGGGCCTTGCACGTGCGAAATTTCGAGAGGGTACCTCCAACTGACTTGTGCACGGCACCATACTAACCAGTCTCTAGCGATGTGCCAAATTTGAGCACAATCGGCCCAGCCGTTCTCGAGATCTGGAAGCGGCACCCTGCACGTGCGCACGTGCAAAATGGGTCCCAACTGACTTGTGCACGGCACCCTACTAACTGGTCCCTAACCGTGTACCAAATTTGAGCGCAATCGGTCCAGCCGTTCTCGAGATCTGGAAACAACCCCTGCACGTGCGCACGTGCAGCAGCACCCCAACTCTGGCACATGAATATGCAGTGCCTAGTGCGTGCCTACCTACATGCCAACTTTCAGCGCAATCGGCCAAGTAGTTACCGAGATATTGCAACAATTACAAAACTGACACCTCTTCGTTTTGCACGTGGCACGTGCATAAGGGGTCACCCACATGCATCGGGAATAGTCCAATACTTGGTAGAAGGAATGAAGCTACCCAACAAAAATTACCGCGTGTAAATCGGTCAAGTGGTTGCTGAGATATAAGCCTCGCAAAAGCGTCCGGCCGGCCGGCCGCTCATACTCAGAAATTTCCGTTAATCTACGGAAAGACTTCGCTCGCTTCGCTCGCTCCGTAAAAACCCAACCGTTCCAAACCTAACGGGTAACACAACAAGGTTAAAGGTAACTTAATCGGCATTAGTAGAGCAGATATCACCCAAAGGTTTTCTAACCGAGGAGAGGCGCTGTAGGTTTGTTGGTTGTAGGGTAGGTTTGTAGGTCTGTAGGCTGTAGGTTTTTAGGTTGAAGGTTGTAGGTTAGGTTAGGTTTGTTACGGTTTTCTTAGAAAGAAGCACGTTCGGGTATGGCGCCTCTCCTTGGTTTGAAAACCTTTGTGTGATGCCTGCTCTACTAATACCACTTAATCTAATCTGACTCAGTGAGAGGTTGTGCGTAACTAATAAATATCTTGTACTAAGAAAATATGTAAGCATCAAGGTGTTGTGCCAGTTTTCAAGCTTAGAAGGATGTGTTCTCTCCTTTCATGTTTTTTTAAAAGAATTCCTGCAGTTCTTAGAGGGTCAAAGGCTTCTATAAGCCCATTTATCAGTCACAACCTGAACCTTAAGTGCTGATAATGAGTAACTATTTTGTCATAGATATGTCTGTATATCCATGATTTTGTGCTATTGATCAGCCCGTAGGTAAAGGTGGTTTGACTGATTGCCCACCAGAAAAGTTGGTTTGACTGATTGCCCACCAGATGTCAATGGTGCTCTTTGAATTTCCATAGTTTTGAATGGTTATTTAAAATAAAAGTGTAAAAAGAATGCATTCACTCATTTAATCATTCATTCATGCATGCATGCATTCATTCATTCATTCATTCATTCATTCATTCATTGAAAAAAGAATACATTCTTGCAGGCTGATGATTTGTAACATAGGTACCTAGAACACCTGTGCTACCGGGTGTTCATTAATGAATGGAATAAAGTAGCTACGTGACGTGATAACAATAAATCACGTATGCGCATTTTTTGCCTTGTAAATATGAAGCATAGGCCTCATCATTTGTTAATACATGATAACTTTAATCACGGCGTCATCCAAACGCTTGTGAATGGCTCTGGTTTCGAAGAGCCCAAATCGGCACTTCAAGACAAACTCGCCGCTCAATTATGAACAAGCGGGTTGGGCTGGGGAGAAGTGTGCCGGGTTGGAAAGTCTTACCGTGGTTAGGCGGGCTTTCCGCCTTAAGTTCTCTCCGAGAAAACCAGCATCTGAAAACCACATCTGAATGCTTTTCAGCGTTTGGTGGAAAGATTTAGGATGGTTGCAGCGACACGGCCATGTGTGCGCTCCGGGCGCCAGCCGATGACCCCTTGTGAAATGGAACAGGTCAAGGATTTCTTCCGAAAAAATGCCACAGCTCATGCTCGGCAGGCGTGCGAAGAGTTTAAAATGTCCCTTGGAAAGGTATTGAAGATCCTAATTCTGTCATGGCCTCCCTCGATCGAAGTCCAACGATCTCGCGCGGAAGTGCCATCTGCACTGGCCCGCATACAGTCCCGACCTGTCCTGCCTGGATTTCTCGTTCTGGACCCAAGCTTTGGATCGCGTGATGGAATTGGAGCCGGAAACAATCAAAGAACTGAAGAAGGTCGTGGAGGATTTCGCCAGAACATAAGCAAGGAGCAGCTGAGGAAGATGGTCCGGCACACACAGCGCCGGGCAGAGCCGTGCGTGGCCGAGCGAAGGTGTTACTTTGAGCACTTCCTGTAGGAGACACAAGTGGCAAGCGGTGATCGCGTCCGCGATGATGTCATCATAAATGATAAGCCCTCCTGAAAATGCATTGTGTGATTTGATAACGTGAGGTGAATATATATCTTTCTGGTGCCTACCTACTTAATTCCATTCATTAATGAACACCCGGTATTTTTTTCAAAGCTGTTAAATGGCTGTCAATTTTGATGGTGGAGTTTTTGTTTGTTTGCACATTCAGATTAGAATTTATTATTTAATGAGACCTGAGAATTAAGTAGAGTCCATAATTGCATGAGTATTTCTATGATGATAAGCATGCTGCCTGCCTTTCTTTATAATTGTAATTAGGTGGATACTGGACTTTTTTAATTGACATGTGACAAAATAACCAAAATGGTGAAGCTACCTGCTACAACACTGATCTTACAAGTTACAATATGTCAATATATGATTTTGTGTGACAGGTAGTTGGGGCATTCCACGATAGATCGTACCACTTTTTTTCCAATTTGACACCCTCATCTCTCGGATTTTAACGATAATTGGTCTTAGGGGTAATCAGGGGCTCTGAATCCTCCTGTAACAATTTCAGGCTTGTCAGATTAGTGGTTTTTGAGTTATAGTGTATAACATGTTTTGGATCTTGCGTTGCAGCCCCAAGTTTGGCGGGCTGTAATTCTAAGACGGATAATGCAAATGCCAAATGCTATACGGCATTGAACTTGCATTGAAACAAAGAATAATATGCATTTTTAAAATTTTGAAATATATAATATTTTTGATGTATAACACCTCGAGTTTCCCTTCTTTTGCATTTTTATGCCTTTGGGACCAATTTTTTTTGAATTTTTATTTACTTAAAAACACTTTTGGATCATTTTTAAGTAGTATGCAAAAATTAGGAAGGTGGGGCATTCCACGATAGATCGACCAAAGCCGTACACCCTCATATTTTATTTTTTTGTTAAAATTGGTCTAATGGGTTGTGATGGGCGGGGAAGCCAGCTGTGCCAAGGATTTTTTTCTTCGAACAACGGTTTCCGAGATAAAGCCTCAGGCAATTCCTGGAGGTCACGCTGCAACCCTATGTTTGGCGGCTTATAACTCAGAAACTATTGGTTTTCTATGGTAAAAAGTAAAAACTTTATATGGTTCAACTCGCAATCAACCAACAAACGTTTTGGCTATCTCGGATTTTCGATTTTTGAAAATTTTGATCACGTGACATCTTGACCTTTTTTTTCGAAGAGTGACCTTGATATTTTCCCAACTGAAAGTCGCAATTATGTCTGATGACGATTAAAGCCTTATCAATTGTCATTCATATGCGAAAATAAAAAAGTGGCTATCGCCCAGCGTTGACCTCAGGTCAGGTCATTTTTATGACCTGTCCATTATTACGAGCGGGAGCGACGCGAGATCTCGAGAATAAAGCAAGATAGCGACAAGCGGTAAACGGTACAGGATTCACACGGATAAGGTCTACAATTTTTACGGAGGTCATTTTCAGGTCAGGTCAAAGATGACGTCACAGGGGTAAAAAGGAAGTCAAAATAGTTTTTGCTGTACCTTTTGATCTAATAAAGAAAGAGACGTGGAACAGGCACCATTGTGTTTGCTTTCGCCTAGCGCCAGTTCGTTTTGAATTTCAATACCGATGACCTAAGATCAGGTCAATTTCTTGACCACCCCATTATAAGTCAATTGGGGAAAAATCAGCTCCCTTGTTTTTACACTAAAACGCGTCGGAATTGCCTAACATACCATGAGTGACTTCATATACGACTAACTTTGACTACCTTGAGACCTTTTTTGCTCTTGGTCAACTGTGACGTTGCTCTTGGGTCATGTGACGTCATTAAAGGTCACCAAATGTTTTTTTGCTAATAACTCCTTACAGGTTTGAGATACAGCCGCGCGGATAGGCTCATTGTGTTCAGCTCGTCAAGGCCCATCGAATGATATATATGATGACCTTAAGGTCACGTGACCTAAGGTCAACTTTTGACCTTGACCTTTCGAGGTCAACATACACATGTTTCGATGCGGATCGACGAGAGGATCACGATGGTGCTATTAGTTTGTTCCTAGCTGGGATACTTTGAAAGTTATTCGAGAAAAACTTCATATATATGTAGTGCCGCCATTTAGACTTTCTTTTTACCCCTGTGACGTCATCTTTGACCTGACCTGAAAATGACCTGAGTAAAAATTGTAGATCTTATCCATGTGTACTTTGTGCCGTTTACCACTTGTCGCTATCTTGCTTTGTTCTCGAGATCTCGCTGTCGCTCCCGCTCGTAATAATGGGAAGGTCATAAAAATTACCTGACCTGAGGTCAACGCAGGCCGAAAAAGCCACTTTTTTATTATCGCATATGAATGACAATTGATAAGGCTTTAATCGTCATCAGACAAAGTTGCGACTTTCAGTTGGGATAATATCAAGGTCACTCTTCGAAAAAAGGTCAAGATGTCACGTAATCAAAATTTTCAAAAATCGAAAATCCGAGATAGCCAAAACGTTTGTTGGTTGATTGCGAGTTGAACCATATAAAGTTTTTACCATAGAAAACCAATAGTTTCTGAGTTATAAGCCGCCAAACATAGGGTTCCAGTGTGACCTCCAGGAACTGCCCGAGGCTATATCTCGGAAACCGTTGTTCGAAGAAAAAAATCCTTGCCACAGCTGGGTTCCCCGCCCATCACAACCCATTAGACCAATTTTAAGCAAAAAATAAAATATGAGGGTGTAAATTCTATTTATTTTTGGTCGATCTATCGTGGAATGCCCCAGGTGTTCTTTCTATAAATGTACTTATTTTGCGTCACCGTAATGGTCTCAAATTGTGATTTTGGAAGAGAGCCTACAAATGGTGTGGTAAAGCTGCCTAGTGACATCACTGGTTACTGAAAGTTCAATTAAAGTCATTTTTGCCTCACTTTTGCATTGTTGACCTTGCGTGACGTCATTCGTACGTCACTAGGGTCATAAGAGTTTTTCGTCAATAACTCTCGATCAAATTGAGCTAGAGAGACGGGAAAGCTACCAATGGACTCGGGAAGACCTTGCGAATCGAATGATGTGCAATATGATCTCATTCACCCAGCTTCGTGGCCTGACCCGACTGTTAACCATCTCTGTGGCGGCGCTGTTTGTCCAGCGCTGCGCTGGTTGGCTTTGCCGCGGACTCGGGGCGGTCACGTGATGCCCGGGGGCTGGCTGCCGGCTGGGCCGCCCGGTCGGGGCGCGGAGCCAAATGCACGGCAGTGTGCTGACCCGAGGTCAGCGACTTAAGCTGACTTCACCAGAACAAACAGTATACCATTCGACGCGCCGGAGCTAGGCAAACACAAAGATGCTAAAATCGCGGCTCTGCGACCATTTGTTGCGAAGTTATCTATCAAAAACCGGACCGGTAATTTGGGTCACTTGAAATGACCTCAGGGGTCACCAATGAACCGGAGACCTTAAAATGTGGTATCATTCGATGCATCTTGTAACGGCGCACATGCTCGTTTTTTCGCAAGGTTCTAGCTCCATTAGAGCCGAAACGGCGAGCTGGGGTCGTACCGACCCCCCGGAAACCCATTTTGTATACATTTGAATGAGGAACTTATAGAAAGAACACCTTTCTAATTTTTTGCATGTCGATTTTTAAGGACCTGAGGTTTATTTTGAAGAAATAAAAATGGCAAAAATTTTGGTCCCAAGGGCCATTATAGACAATTTAAAAAAATATTACGACTTTTTTTCAATATGTAAAGCTTTTCTTTCCAATTTTAAAAATACTGTATTAATCTTTGATTCATCGTTAGTTCAAAGCTGTTTACCGTTTGTTGCTTGCTTAGCTCGTTTTTGAGTTATAGCTCATCAAACTCACCCTTACAATCTGAAGTTTAGAAAATATTATGCAATGTAACTCAAAAAGTTTTCATCTGAGAAGTCTGATATTTTGGCAGGTGTTTTTGGAGCCTATGATTACCCCTTGTACCAATTTTCATTCAAATCTGAGAGATGAGGGTGACGGGCCTGGTACGATCTATCGTGGAATGCCCCAGTTGTCAGAAAGATCAGATATGGTCAGGCTGTGTTGCTTTTTTTCTGCACACCAAGTTTTAAATTTTGTAGTTCATAATTTGGTTTTAGTGCTCTGAAATTCACATTTTAAAGTTATCTGCAATTCAAAACATGAATATCCAAATTTTGAATGCAAAGCCAAACTTCTAAATTTATTGTATCTCAATAGTTGTATTCTTCACCAATGAACTTTCACACGTTTTTTTTGTCACCATCTTTTATGCATGCACATGCATACACCATTGACCATGTTTATGCCTATATACTCATGTGATGTATTCATCTGCTCATCCCTGACATTAAATCAATTAAAAACACAAGATAAACCACCACTGAATGGCGCGTCCGAACGCTTCTAGGTTTTCACCGCCTCTTCTGCCAAGTGCCAACTGTCGGACTCTGTTCTCTGCAGCCTGCACTCCGATCAGCAGCATGCCGCCGGCTCTGTCGGTCCGCCTGTGGTGGCCGGGGACGACCGGATTCCTGCCCAGCCGCGCCCGGCTGTCCGTCTCAGCAGCGGCGGCGGTGCGCACCGCCCGCCAGTCCTGGGAGCCGCGCGCGCCGCGTCGCCGCGTGCCCGTCACCGAAGATGAGGCTGCCGCGCTCCGGAGGCGACCGCCGGGCCGGCCCGAGGCGCGCTGCCTCTCAGTGGCAGTCCTGGGTATACCAAACAGCGGCAAGAGTACGGTCATCAACCGGCTTCTCAGCTGGCCCGTGTGCTCCGTCTCGAGCAAGGTACACACGACGCAGACGAACTCTCGCGCGGCACTGACGATCGGCGATACTCAGCTGGTGCTCGAGGACACTCCCGGGCTGGTGACGGATGCCGAGCGGCGCCGACACAGACTGGATCCAGCCACCACCACCGAGCCGCTGTCGGCGCTGCGACGAGCCGATCTAGTGTGCGTGCTTCATGACGTGTCGGACCCGCGCTGCCGCGCCGGACTCAGCCCCAAAGTACAGCGACTGCTGTTTGCCGAGCCGAGCCGCCCGGCTGTGCTGGTTCTTACCAAGGTGGATATGCTGGCGAGGAAGCGACGTCTTCTGGAGCTCACCCGACAGCTGACCGACGGACTGGTGGACGGTGTGCCGATTCTGGCAGAGGAGAAGAAACCGCGTCCTCGCCGACTGGACGCGGACCGTCTGCTGCGTGATACCGCTATCTCGAACAGTGATAGCAGTGACGGGGAGTCTCGACAGCCGCCCGACGCGGCGCTGGACCGCGAGGAGCAGCTGCGGGCAGCCGGCGTGGAGCTGGCCGAGGGGTACGTGGACCGGGGTGGACCGCTGCCCCCGCTGAACCCTGAGCACCGCCGTCTGGTGCTGGCCGGACAGGCGGACCAGCTCTCCGAGGCCGACCTTGACGCGCTGAGCCGCCGCTGGCGCGCATGGCCGCTATTCCGGCGTGTGTTCATGACGGCTGCGCTGGAGGGCGCCGGTGTCAGCGCGCTCACAGATTATCTCCTGTCTGCGGCCCGGCCGGCCGGGTGGCGAGTCAGCGGCGAGCTGGTGACTGACCGCCGGCCTCGCCAGCTGGCCGAGGACGCGGTGCGCGCCGCGCTGCTGGAGCACCTGCCGGCGGAGGTGCCGTACTGCATCACCTGTCAGGTGACGCAGTGGGATCAGGGCGCCGCCGACGTACTAGCCGTCGAAATGCGACTGCAGTGTACTCGTATGCAGCACAGCCGTGTTGTGCTGCGGAAGATCCGCGCGGTGGCTAGAGATGCGGAACAGCGGCTGAGGGACGCGTTCCGCGCGGAGGTGACGCTGCGTCTGGATGTGAGACCGAGTCCGCCCGGCTGGGGCGGGGACAGGCAGTGAGTGAGAGCTGGTGAGGTGAGCGAAGGTGGATGCTAGTAGTCCGGACTGGAGAGGACTGGACATGAACATGGACATGGACTGAGCGGCAAAGATCGTGGACAGGTGAACGCGTGGCGAGTAACACTGAATGGTGGGATGTGTGGGCATTGCTGATAAAACTAAGGTTTTGTCCAGCAAAACCGTTTTGTGCAGGGGTTTGTGGCGGGAGTTTGGACTATGTCTCTGAGTGCTTCTCCTGTGAGGATGGTCTCATCGTGTGCGAGCAGCGTTGTGCAGCAAATGCGATTTGATATGGAGCTGCCTGGTCAGCTGTGTGAACCTTTTAAAGGACATCAGCGATAGATTAGACGTTTAAAGGAGCTACTAGTAGTCATGCCTGTCCTGAACGGTGACCTAAATGCTCTGAGTCTTTGATGAATGGAAAAGGGTCATGTCACTAGTTGAGAACCTTCGATTGTTTTGACTATTTAGAAGGCTTTTAGGTTGGATGGTTACGAAAAAAAGATGTGCTAAAAATGCACTTATTTTAGGATATGTTGTGCCCCATGTTTGCTGTTTTGGAGACTGGGCAAATTACTGGGCGCTGATATCGGCGATATCTGATGCGTTCCGGGCGCCCAAAACCTCCAATTATATCACTACAACGTGGTGATATAATTGCTAATATTAGTGGCTACAATTAGTGTGTATTACAATTATTACAATACAAAGGCTACATATTAGTGTGGGCTTCTTTCGTAAAGCGGCTGCAGTTATGGTTTGCTTTTGTTTTGGCCAAATCGATTGTATGCTCTGTAGAACTTCGATGGCGTGTATTTGTCAAATGCATACACGAGTTGCAATATATGCCTTTCTGTGGGATGTAACAGCTCTTTTCACGTGAGGTATGGAGCTGTCTAGCACTCATGAGCGCGACAACTTTAAAATGTTTAACCTCAATCGGCTAATATGCAGTATTGCTTTCCTGTAAATGTCATGTTCTTTCGCTTGTCAAACAAAGTCCCACATCAGAGCACATCCTTCCCAAAACGACGTCTAAAACGACTCTCCATCCTAGACTACAACCATCACTGTTTTCACAACGTGTCCCTCCAGATAACTCTATCTGAGCGAGACCGGCGCTGCCGACCTGTCAGTAGTAGCAGTCATGGACCCCACCTCAGCCGACGGCGGCGGTGACGGAGAGGATAAGATGGCCGCCCTCCTTGCCAATCACAAACACGAGAAAAAGGAACTCCAAGGTACGTTCTCCGGGACGGAGTATAATAGTTTCATTGGCTATGTTTTGCAGGACTTGCTCTCCAACTATGTACCGAAATGATTTTTTTAGTTTCACCCATTGTCTATGTAAACATGTCGCAAAAATGGACCACATCGCGCTCATCCGTACACATCTCAACCTGTCTTTCGTACCATCTTGCTGTTTTAAGTGTTCGAATATAGTTGCGTCGTTTTGCACCATCCGCTTAAAGACTGCTTGTGACGGTTTCTAATTTCTATCGTGGCATATGTTAACATTTCCGGTGATCCAGGTAAAATATTGTCCATGAAGAAGTCGATATCGAAAACGGACAAGAAAAAGAAGAAGGAGCTGGCCGAGCAGACCGACAAAATGGAGCACGAACTACAGAAGCGGCACGCCGAGGAGATAAACGCCCTGTCGTCCGTGCTACAGAAACAGCATGTGAGTAAAGAGCAACATACATATACGTAGACACGTAGATAATGCGCCGAGAAATCCAGTCACATGTGACATGGTGAGGTTGAGTCTTATCCCTGGCTGAAATACCACAGCCACTTGCTACCGTAGCCCCCTTCCCCTGAGCTGCAGCTGCCCACGTGCTTGATGGAGTTATTGGTCGACATTTGACAATTTATCGTCGCACCTCTAGCTTAATGATATTGCTAATATTTCCGTATTTTTTTTTCGCGTTTGCCCATTGCTCAACGTCCCTCATTCATCACCCTTAAGGATAAAGGATGGGCGTTTGGCTGAACCACTAACTACCTTCCCCACCCACCAGCCGGAGGCAGCTGCGGAGGACACAGCCGTGGCCGACGCCACAGACGCCGTGGAGAACCTGTCCGTACGCGAGCCGCGTGAACCCCGCGTCACCAAAGCGCAGCGCCGCCGGGACAAAAAGGCCGAGCAGCAGCGAGAGCGGGAGCGTGCCATCGCTGAGCAGGAGGTGGCCAATCTGGAGGGACCACGCCACCTGGAGACGGAGGCGATACGGGCCCGACTGCGTGAGCGGAGCAGGGCGATACACCTGATACCGTCCGATGGAGACTGGTCAGTAGTGGAGGGAAGAATGAAAACATCAAACGAACTACAGATAGATGTTTCATGTTCACACATCGAATTTCCTTGAAAGGTTTTTGGTTATCGTGTCTTGCTTTTTTCACGCACGGCTAATTTAGAGCTCCGAAGTTATTTAACACCAAAGTATCACGTATCTCAATATTAAACATCATTAGAACGCATCCTCGATGACACTCTCTCTTGATCACCAAACTCATTCTCCTGTCGTCCTCAGTTTGCCACCACACTCATAAGTCTTTTTTCGCCCTCAGTCTGTACGCGGCTGTACTCCACCAGTTGGGCGGCACGTCCTCTGGTCTCTCGGTCGGTTCACTGCGTCAACGGACCGCTGACGAGCTGACGGAGCACCCCAACGAGTACAAACCGTTCCTCACAGACCCAGCCACTGGGGATATGTACTCGGACGAGGGCTACGAGCGCTACTGCCGACTGGTGGCTGATACCAACGCCTGGGGAGGCATGACCGAGGTGGGTGAACAGGGAAAGCTCAAGGCCACCGGCCTTCGTCAAAATAAAAAAGGGTCGGGTGTCAAAGTAACCTGTTCATTTGTCGATTTGTCGTGGAATGCCCCCCGTGTTATGTGAGGCATTATATGTTTTGATGATCGGCCAATCTAGTTGGGTTGAGTTGGCAATTGGCATGACTCATCACGGAGAATCGGGCATTGTGTGCGCAGTAGCACAGGCTTGGTGTTAAGTCCTTGGTAGGGACGAGGATTCTTTGGGTGGCATGATCGAGTTGGGCGATTTGGGAGGTCCAGGCAGTTACATAAATAGCTCAGTGGGTTAGTCGTTTATCTGTCTGGTAAGGGATGGACTAAATATATGAGTAGCGGAGGGAAGATGGTATTTATAATTACTGATAAGTCTGTGTCTGAGGATGTGAACTGAGAATCCTATTGGCGGTATGGTTTAAGAAGCCGGGCTCGGAGAGTCGCAGCTCCTAGTGCCGTTACTCCTACGCCACGGAATATATAGTCTACGATACGACATATAGTCTACATCTACGACATATTCCGTGCCTACGCTGTGCCCCAGCCCCCAATGTCGCAGTCGCTCGTAGTCACATTCCCTCCCCCGTCGACAGGTGGCAGCACTGTCGGCTGCTCTGGACCGCACCATTGAAGTGGTACAGGCCGAGGGTACCCCGGTGGTACTGGGCGACGGGCGGCCCGGTAACTCCCTCCTCATCACCTACCATCGTCACATGTACGGCCTCGGCGAGCACTACAACTCGACACGCGTCGCCACCGCAGAAGACGAGGACGAATGACGGGAAGTCGGGAGCTGATGGGTTTTGGAGGGACACGGGAGGGTCTGGAGGGGTGCAGGTGGGGATGGAAGGACGCTGTTGAACCTGGAAGAACGTTAGAGACCCGGGAGAGGCATGACTAGAGTGCCGGGAAGGGCGATATTTGACTAGGGGACGCGAGGCTGAAGTCTAACACTGCTGCCTGCGTCGGATGAAGCTCATCAAACGAGGCATTGAAAATGGCGGAAGATGTTTCGTGCAAGACTGTCCGGTGATGGAAGGAGCCAAAGGTGTGCTGTGTATGAGTTTTTTTTTTCGGTTTGATGCAAAATAAGCAGTTGAAGTTAAGTGGTTCAAGCCATGAGGTGTGACGGCGAGTTGAAAGCAGTAGGGCTCGAGTGGCACAGCACCCTACGTTCTGACTAATGAGACGTACACACCGGAGCTGGGCCATCTGTCTGGATAATCAGACGCCGATTTCATGCATGCTTCTCTGGCGTTCGTTCGGGAAGACGATGCGATGTGCTAATGCCGTCTTTTTGTGTGTGCATCTGCGAATGTTTTCTACGAATTTCTCGTTACAATGCGCGGTTACATTTGTTACAAAGGTTCTTCTCGGTTCATCCAAATAATGACGTTGTTTTATTGTTTACCGAATTAATACTATGAGGCAGCTGCCAAATAAATTTACTACTCTTGGTTGATGTAAGTTGAAAGCACATCGCCATGGTTGCTTATTCCATGGGTTCACGGCCGACTATGTTCATGGCTGATTTTGTGATGCACGCGGGATCCAGCAGATTCTTGAGGGAAACACGCGGAAGACTGCCACCTTCAAAAAGTTTTCTCAGATCGGCCCATGATTTTTTCCCTGAATAAAACGAAATTTTAGAATTCACCTGGCAAGCTATCATCACGTGAATCGCGTAAAAAAATTATCGATTATCATAAATTATCAATCAGTTAATGTCTAGCGACAATGTTGACACATCACTATACTTCAAGGTCATAAGATATGGAAGCGGGTTTTGTCGCCATAAACGGCGCGCATGTTACAATTGAAATATACAATGATCCTTGCTTTCCTTGCTTTGGTTATGTATGTCGTGTTTACGCTTTTGGAATAGTTATGTTATCTATATCTTAAAATATTCCAATTCTGATTCATCTGATAGGTATATATATACATGTATTTTGGCATGTGATATTAAAAGCTAGACTATTTTCAGGTTTATGTGAATAGTGATAGACTAAGTTGAGACAAATGCTATTTGAATAACAAATACCTATGGTATTGGAAAAATTGTTATGAATCTGATAGTGTTTCCATTCCAGCACCAATTTCCCAGTCTTCAAAGTGTGGCAGGGAGCTCAATCCGTGACAAGATGTTTGGGACAGTCAAAACATTGCCCCAAGCGGAATGCCGAGACCTGGGCAACCCAATTCCTTTCATGAGGGCCCCTCATGAATATGATGAAAATGATATAATGATGAAGTGCATCATTTAATAAGTATGAGAAGCGAAACGAATCAATGCTGTGACAAGTTTTCAACTTCTGCCCCAGATTTCCTTGCTTCTGCCCCAAAATTCCTCAAACCTGCCACAACCTGTGGTGTGTGCCCTGACAACATATTGTCAAGACCTGCCACGTTTGCAGACTGGCCCATTTCTGTATGCCTACCTTCCAGGTGAAGATGCCTGGTGAGCGAGGGAGAGGACGAGGACGGGTGAGGAGAGGAGGTGGTCGAGGGGCAAGAAGAAGCCTCAACTTTTCACCCACCGCCCAGCCCGAGCCCCAAAGGTAAATAACTGAATGTTTCTTACGATGTGATGTGAAAGTATGAAACAATTGTTAATATTTATTTAATTGCCATGTGTGGCCTAGCCTTTATCTAGGTTGCTAGCCAATATATACCTACTTTAAGGTGATTATTGCAATTAAAATTATCATGTACCTACCCCACAGAGGAAGAAGGTCTACCCGGGCCAGGGCACGATCAACAGTGGCCAGTCACTGTGAGCGGCCAGCTTTCCGGAGGTTTGTTTCTAGTACATAATGCATGAATTATTTGGTCCATCTCAAATGGTTGCTTGCATTTTTTTCATAATGAGTCTGTTTCTGGGAACCGATATTTAAGGAAGCATCCTAGTGTAATTTAGGGGCTTAGATGGGTTGTAGAGGGTCAACTGTGCATGAAATAACAGTGAAATTGGTTTTTTTCCTACTGAAATGAAAAGGAGGGTCAAACCATGTTGTGCTCAAAGGTGACCTAGTAGGCACTTTGTGCTTAGTCTTCCTTTAACTAGCAGGCGCTTTGTACTTTACAGAAGCGTGGAAGATGCCCAGCAGCTCCTGCAGGCAGCCGACGACCAGCTTGTGGTAAATCTGTCTCAACATGAATGTTTGGAGATTATTTAAGTGCATTCAAATTTTGAGCTATTGATCTTGTGAAATGGTTGTAGACAGAGCTCAAGGTGACTTACTGTCATCACTCATGGTTGATGGTAATGTTTAATTACGAGTAAGTTCAATAGCTTTCAATTACTGTCTGTGGCAGTTAGTCAAGAGCAATTTACTAGTCAGTTGTAATAATACCTACTGAACGGTCCAATATACAACTCTGTCAACTCTAACAACAGTAAGACCCTGTATTCATCACACATGAATACCAAGAATACATCAGCTGGGAGAGTTCAATCCTTGGAGGCTTTTAGATTCTGTGAAGTTGTACAGCTGTATTTCCAATAATTGTACAGCCATATGACTTTGTGGAATTGTGGCCGCCATACAACGGACCCATTGTCATCATTCATCAACCAGCAACTTCTGTTAGGCGGCAGTGGAAAGCATGGGCCTCGAAGACCTCCGTGCCGCCACCCTGGGGATGGCGCGCGCCCAACCACTTCTGAAGTGGCGCTTCCTCGGAGCCCATCTCTATCCGGACGGACCTCCTGGACCTCAGTCCTCGCCACCCGCTGGTCCACCCATGCCCGGTCCTTCGGCGGCACCAGATTGGTGTGTCTGTGGTGGGTAAGTACTGGGCAGTAACCCATGGACAATGTGTATTCATTACTTATGTGCATCCAGCCTGCTATCCAAGCATGTGTAAGAGTAACATTTACGGTATGTAAGTATACGCATGCCCTCGCTATCAGAAGGCACAACTGGAATTTACTACTCATTCACGATTGTTACCAGATGTCCGCCAGCTGTTCGTAGTTGGCGAAGGGCCAACATCGTAGGTCATTCGTGAGTGGTATGCCACTTTTGACGTCGCTAGTTCAAAGAAAGTCCAGGCGTCCTAGCACGTGCAGCACGTACCCACAGGAGCGGTAACCACTAAAACACACACGTTGGGGTAGTATACGTGTGACCCACCAGTAAGGGATCAGTGGTGCCCACTGTTTGACCTGAAGGGGCAGAAAAAGAATGGTACGTGCAAAACACTTGCACGTGCACTGCACGTCCACAATGCACCCCATCCCCCTAATTAACACGGCGCCAAGTAGGCCTTGCCAAGGTGCACCCATGTACCGAGTTTCGTGTCTCTAGCTCAAAGTTTCCTTGAACCGGAGGACCTCGCGTCAAAAAAGTTTCCCGCTCCTGGCGCGTGCAGCCAGCACCCCACAAGAGTGGCAACCACAAAAGCACACACGTCGGGGCTGTATACGCGTGTCCTGCAAATTTGGTGTCGGCTCGGCGGTGCCTCCCGTTTGACCTGCAGGGTTGGCTACAAGTTTTTACAAGCCTTCACGCGGCGGCACGTGCCACGTGCCACGTACGTCATGCACCCCTGAAAAAGGCAAAATCACACGTCCGCCGGTTGGGTCCATCCACTCTGAAAATTTCGTGCGAATGCCACCAACCGTTTCCACGCCAGACTTCAGAAACCTCGACAGACAAACATTGTGACAGAAAACGGCCAACTTATCCTCTCAGTATAAATCTCCGAAATACAAAGGAACCTTCATATGCTAAAGCATATGAACTTTCCTTTGTATTCCTACGATTTTGGATCACTCACGATCAGTAACGGCGCATGATGTGGCAAGTACCTAATTTGTGATTAACTGTGATTAACCCTGCTCTCCAACTTCCTTTAAAATCATGCCATGATGGTTTCCTGACATCACAATCACACCCACCCATTCACCAGATGCCGAGACATGCCCCAAGTCGAAGACCGGGTGTGTTGCAACCGGGTGGGTAGAGACGGCACCTGCCTCCGTCGTCAGGCCGTGAGTACATAGTAGCAAAGCACCCCGACGTTATCAAAGCAGAATTGCGCTTCAATCCAGTCACCAGAAATGTAGTGTGATTCATTTTAAGTTTCTGTGTAGTCGATCCTTATTCCAGCAGGAAATAACGAGGCAGAATAGATTCCATTTTGATTTAATGCGCGTAGTTTCCAGGCCCATTGTTTTGTGTATTTGTTGGCTACTAGGCTTTCATCTGAAATGCCAAACATTTCATATGTGGATATTTTGAATTAAAAAAATCCACATACTCTTGATGGAATAAATTGAAATTAATAGAATCATCGATTCTACTTTTACTTCGAGCCAAACATAATGAATTCCGATTCTCATGTCACTAGAGCATTGTTGGAGCAACATCATTGACTCATATCCCGAATCATGGTGAAACAACCCCGGAATTATAATCGATTCCACTGGAATGGAGCGATTTTTCAGAGCGAGTGTTTGGCACATGTGAGTTATTCATTGCTTTTGTTCTCGTGATATCAAATGCCGTGCGATATGAAACTGTTCCAGAAAGCTAATTTGTCCTATTCGATAACAATCAGACACTGAAGTTCTCGTGGTAATGAATGACCTCTTTTATCATGAGTGACGTTGAGCATGGATATTCAACAATACAGAGGAAGCTCGTGAAACATCACAATGAACAACACTTGACAATGCTGCCCTCAGGAATGTGTCGCCTTCACACAAACGGCAGCATTCGTAACTATGGGGATGCTCTACCACGGCGAGCGCGCCGCTACCGGACCTACTGACCTGGCCCATGCCGAGCAGCACAACCGAGCCATGCGCTGGCAGGCGTACAGAAATTTCATTCTGTGGTGGTATGTTTTCACAATTTGTCGATAAATATGTCGGCTTTAATCGCGTTCATTCTTGATCACCATGTAGCCTATCTATGTACATCAGTACCAAGTAATTGGATACATATTATGGATCAGGTGGCTGTTCACGCTAACTTCGAAATGCACTTTTACATTTGGCAATATGAAGGAAACAGAGGTATACTGTGCTAGCACCGTCCGCGCTCATCCTAAAAAAACTGCACTCAGTTCTTTGTCATGTTCTCAGGTGGGGATCACTTGGCCGAGGCAACCGCCAGCGCCTGCCAGCGTGTGTGCTGTGGGCCATCCGGGACGCCTTCCCCAGCCCGTCCGGCCACTATGTCGGCTTCCGGGAGGTCGTCCTGTAAGGCAGTTAGATGGTGCGCCGCTGCTGGTGCCGCTGCCACTCGTGGCGCATGTCCTCCGCCTCCTCGGGTGTAGGCTGCGCCGCCCCCCGGTGGACGAAGCGGCTGAGCCGGCGTGGGTCGTCCTCGGCCAGCGGCCGCTGTCCCAGCACCGGCCCGGCGCGCCGCCGCTCCAGCATGTCGCTGAGCAGTCCGGCGACGTATGGGTGCGACTTGGCCGCTACCACACGCCTGGGCTTCATTTGCCCTCTGGCGCGGCTGTACACCATCTCCAGCCTGTGAATGCGACATGCTTGATTTGTAAGTTTTGTTTTGTTGTTTGTCACGTTCGCTCACTGTCACAACAGCAGTCTAGAATAGCCATTGTTTTGATACACACTAAGTTACACGAGTGAGAAAGCAGTGGACAAGTCGCGTCGTGTGAGATGAGCGGCAACCTGTGAACGTTGCCGGACGGCGCCAGTGAAAATGAGCCGCCCTTTTCCGCATAGAAACAATGTAATATGGATGTTTAATGACGTGCTCGACATGAGTGCACAAAACCTATGTTCTTGTGAATAAAATATCAATTTGAAGTTATTTGCTTTAATTGCGAAGTCACCAAATAATTGCACGTGATAGAATATACGCTTGCTAAAGCGTTCCGATAGGCTCCAGTGTTAAATTCGGCGCGGCAGTGTTAGGTGGACGGCCAGCTTTAATGACGCATCTCATCCCCGCGTTTTTCATTGTGTTCTGAAGCTATAGTCGACGATAGGAGGGGAGAGTGCGATATAATCGCCGTCGAAATCGATGCCGCGAGACGGGAGTAAGGGTTTCAAATTGATCGGGCCGCCCGTCTCGCAGTAAGAGCGGACCTAGTCAGCCGATTCAGACCACCCGAATTCAGTAGAGCCCAGAATGAATTTTTTTTCGGCGATATACACAAAACCCGTGCACCGACATCGTGCACACCTAGCAAACAACAAGAAGCCGGTCGAGACGTCTCATTTGATACAACCAACTCTGCCCTGCGACATGCAAGTGAGCCGCAAGCCGCGAACATCAATAAGATGGGTTTGCTTTATTTATAGGAAGATGTAACCAAAGCCCGTCATCCCCATCCCATCCCATGGGCAGGCCATAGTTATTGCAAGACATACCTACACCACACAGGAGCAGCCACACGCAATATCTAAGAACTCACCTCGTCCGTCCCTCGCGGTCAGTCAGGTCCTGGCGCTGGCCGTGGTTTGAGTTGTAGTCGATAACAGCCATCCTCTTCCGCGTTGTGAACATCGGCGGCCTGCAAAAAGGTGCATTCCTTGCATCATACTGCGCAAGATCCTACAAAACAGCCATGTGCATTCTTAATACCATGCATATTGCATAGCACACGAAAGCAGGCAAACATAACTGTTTGAAGTTGAATCAGTTTCCAACCGGCTACCCAATATACGTTTTCTTCCTACCATTGGCCTGCGCTACATCACCTAGACCCCAGAAACATACACAATCCAGTAACAACTTTCGCGGCGCATCAGAACGACGGCGACCAGCCCGAAAAGTTGAACAGCACTGTCACCATAGCAACATAGCAAGACTATTATAACACCATTCGTCGGTGACGGTAAGATCTGTGGTCAGCGAACTCACTCGTTCTGGATGTACTGTGTATGCCATGGGTCTGTAAGCACTTGTTAAATAAAACATGGACAATTTACTAGAAATGCACATGTACCTCTTACTCACCAGAAGAACAGCTGCTTCGGCGTGTAGACCAGCGTGAGGCCGTGGAAACTTTCAACGAGTCCCGTGTGCCTGAAGGACAATGAAATCATCGTCACAAACGAAAAAAAAAATAGAAGTATTCGCAACAACTTTGCAAAACGCAACACACCAACTATGCATATCCAGGGTTAATCTCAAAGGTTTTATTAAAAAGGAGGTTTGCATACGAAATGGCCTTTCAGCTCCAGGACACTTAGATCGTATCGCTTTTATATGGTCAAAAACGTACCTACTCAAGCAGGTCCAAAGGCTGCCATTAGTCAAACATTATGGGTTGCGTTACCCCTCGCAATCCCATCAAATTGGGCAAAAGCCTGAATTACGGCTAATCAAAATTTTGTCCCACGAAGGGTTGCCTAGATCCGATTCTGAATTCCAATACATTAACCCGCGCACTGCCGGGGGTCTGAGCCACCTTCGCACTGTGGGGGGGGGGGGGGGCCTCAGGTCAAGATCATGACCTCACCGAAATAGGTCATGTTGCATATCATTTGATGCGCATCGACGAGACAAATGCAATGAACGTCGAACGGAGTCTCTATCTCAATTCAATCTCAAGTTATTGCACAAAAACCGTTGGTGACCTCAGGTGACCTCGGATGACCTTTTAGGTCTTTCAGGTGATATATTCCAGTTGAACCATCAACAGGGACCAATAATATCACGTTTCTGTGCATATTGAGGGAATTGGGTGGCATTCAGAAGGAGTTGAAATTTCTCCCATAGACTTATAATGGGGAGGTCAGAAAAATGACCACCGATATGAAAATTCCGAGATATACGTTTTGATGATGTTCATACCCTTCTTCCATCCTGTGAGTTTCAAACTGTTCCATTCACTGGTGTGGCCATGGCGCACTCACAAAGTTGAGAAATCACACTTTTAGGTCACTTCACTTAAACTGCTCTGGTGACCTGACCTCAGGTGACCTGGGGTCAAAATTTTCACACAATGTGCGGAAATGTTGGGGGAACAGGTATGCAAAAAATTTTTCAGCTATCGCGGAAAAACCTCAGGGGGGGGGGCACATATGTGCCCCCCCCCCCGGCAGTGCGAGGGTTAATTGACTGCTTTCAACACATGCCACAAAGGTGATCTCGATTCTTCCCTTGTAAGTTGATGCCAGGCACGTTGTGCTACAGCTATAATGATGGTACTAACCTGTACCGAGCGAGGTGCGGCAGCTTCTTTCTGAGCTTGTCGCCCAGCAACACCTTCGTCATCGCCGTGTGGGCGGCGCTGCCGTACTCCAGGTACGGTGGGTGCTCGGCCGGCTCCTCGCTGTCGTGGTGGCAGCGGTTGAGCAGCGTTGCGTGCACGCCGCACACATGGTGGGCGGACATTTCCACGCTTTTCTGTATGAAAGAAAACAAATGTGCCAAATCATTAGTTGTGGATAGTCTCACTTCACTTTCAGGGTGGCCAGGGAGGTGTGTGCAGAGTTGTGCTTTGAGTCAGGCTCACCCCGCTTTGTCGGGTAGCCCCACAATGGAAGGGAAAAGTCGGGTCACTGGAAATGCGTATTGGAAATCTAGCATCTCCACACGCCAGCGCTCGGAACGCTCGTGGCTTCCTGCCAGGTCACGAGGGGTTGCTCGGCAAAGCGGAGTAAGCCTGACTCAAATCACAACACTGGGTGTGTGATGTATAATATGTAGCCATCAGATAATACATGTGTTTCAAACAATACCCTCTAAAAAACAATATTCCGTTTCCGTACCTGCATGACAGCGGTCTCCCCAGCGCAGGTCTCGGCACTCCACCACAGGTGGTTTTTTAGGTGACGCACCCATAGCTTCAGCGCCTTCGTTTTTGCAGTGTCCGACGCCTTATCGAGCTCTTTTCCGAACAACTTGGTGGCGTGCCACAGGTCAAAGCTGTAGACGACCCCCGGGAGAGCGTCACCTGAAACAAATGTGCCGGAAATGGGTGGCTGCGCATGTGACGAGGACGGCAGTTGTTCCGTCACTATTGAAGTACATTAAAAAGGGTTTAAATTAGACAAAGCCAGCGTTAGATGACAGATACAGGCAGCACACAACATCACTCACATATAAGCTTTTTGACGCCCATATGCTGGTCGGAGACGTACTCCGCCACCGACCACTTGGGAGCCTCTTCGTCTTGGTCGTCGTGATCGATGGTACAGCCGATGGCCTCACACTTGACCAGGCAGCCAGCCATGTGCAGTTGCATGAGGCACAGGCGTGCCCCCTCCTTCTCCAGTTTGGGGCTGGAGAAATCCGTCTGCTGCCGGCTGACGGTGGCCTGTGACGATAACGAACGGGTATTTAACTTCTATTGACTTGACTGGATACGACTGCTAAATTGCTCAGCTAGGTATCCATTGATCGTTACAGAAATAAGATCTATTGGTGAGGTTGGTGTCATGCTGCATGCGGTGACACCTGAAAAGGTCTGAACTGTGTTTTAGCTTGTGAATTCAACTTAACACGGCAATACCGTACTTGCATTGTCGTGGGTGTGAACGTGAGAATAACTCGAATTTTGAAATACACAACGGACGACTTTCTGAACGTCGTACATGAAAACAAACACCATATGCGTAATCAGCGTGTCTATGTACGTGGGAAACGATGCGAAAATGAAAACATTTCAAACTCTTTTAGTGGTTAACATGATTATACTTTAATGGGTCTGAAAGTGAGAAATTCGAATTTTCAAACAAATTGCGCGGGGGTTTCCGAACGTCGCACATTAAAATAAACACGATATTCGTAATCAGCGTGTCGAATATCACGGGAAAAGTATCGGAAACCAAAACATTTCAAACTTTTGTCGGGATCGACGCACCCTAACATAACACATACACAGCACAAAACGAAATCGCAATGGAATGCACATCGCATATTGGCCGCAAACCTTGTGTAATGACCGCTGCCTTGTGTGTACCAAGGGTTGGTAATAATATAAGACCAAGATACGCCAGTATTCAATTTGAAATATTACCTGTGCGACAATCTTCTCCGTCTTCAGATCGATCATGGTATATGTCCCATATGCGGCCGAGTGCCCCGGGGAATCATTCTGGCAGTCGCCTGCGTGAAAACAAGATTGAAGCACAGCTTAGAATGGCAGCTCATTGCCCCTGGTTATATAGTCTATATGGTCTATATAGTATTTCACATGTGGCTTAACATCTATAGCAAAATAATCCCTTCTATTAATAGACACCAACATTTGTCAGCATGCCAGTTACAGCTGGATCATGGAAGTTAAAACAGTTTTTACGACTCTTTACAACAAAATACGTTGTTGAGCGTACGCACACGCATGCATGCAACGTATTGCATTGGTGACAACTTTCGATACTGTCATAGCAATCATTTCTACATACCAGCAAGCAGAAGACCCCCCGGGGACTCGGCGATCCTCTCTTGTAGAGCGTCACGGCACATACGACCGAAGGCCGCGTCGATGGCAGGGCCGGTCACATGATGCGAGAGGCGGTAGTAGCTCGACATACTCATCATCCCGATGTTGGTGAAGGTGAAGAGCCGCCTGATTTTCTCAAACGTGTTGCCTGGAGCAAACAACAGAAACATCTTATTCACAAATCGGAGCGTATGATACAAAGAATTGTTGAGATTATGTGCTACAAGTTCAGGGGACGCTAATATATGTTAGCGAGTGAGCGAGCGAGTTCTCTCTAGAATAGCAGCAAACTCTCAGCATGCGAGGCCCGACCCGGCCGGTCCACCCTGCGACGCCATTCAGAGACAAGGTCATGTAGAGAAGGTGAATATACAGAGCCGCCCTATGGAAAAGTCGAAACAATGTGGTTATGTCATCGGTGACCCAGTGTCCACCAGTTCAGCACAGCGTAGTAGGGCATTTCTGTTAGACACCTAGTAGAAATGTCTTACCGGACATGACGATTGACCCCGCGAAGACCACGTCCAGGTCAGATACCTGGCCGTCGCGTGGCGACGACCACCAGCGTCGCACCAGACGGCCTGGAGCTGTACACGACGAACAGGTCTGCCAGCAGAGGAAAAGAAACGTCACACATGTGGAAAGAACAAAAATGACTACTATCCTATAAGGAACGAATCGGTGCTCCTATGCCAGACTGCAAAGTATGGCACGCAGGTCGACGAGGCGCACCGGCCCAAGTTCTAAATCCGCACCAACCCTTCAAACTGAGCCGGAAAATCCGCACCAAAGCGGGCTGAGAGCCCAAAAAATCCGCACCAGCACCGAACCCACAGGCAATTATAATGCAAGGGACTTTATTCATCTCACTATAATTATTTCCCGTCCAATTTCAGTTTCACTTACCGCTTGAGCAACGCTCACCACGGGACCGCGCCGCGCACTTGTACCGTAAGTTTGAAATAGAGCAAATAGACGGACGCCGGTGAAAATAGGGCGCCGGAGGGCATATTGGGTCATGTGACATTCGGAACTTCCCCTCTGTGGGGGACGCCGGTGAAAACAGGGCGCCGGAGGGCATATTAGTCACGTGACATTTGGAACTTCTCCCGCTCCAAGGGCCTTCTATATGCCAAACATCACGTGTAAATTTCACGAACCTTGATCAAATCGCCCTAGGCGCCCTGTTTTCACCGTCGTCCTCTGTGGGCCTTCTACATGCTAAATGTCACGTGTGAATTTCACGAGCCTTGATCAAATAGCCCCAACAAACTTTCGTATGAGTGAATCCAATGACGTCATTCCCAAGTAGCATGCTGATTGGCAATCCAAACCAGCTGCTCGCTAATGTGACATACCAGTCACCACCGCAACCAGTCTTTCGTTCTAATGACGTCGTCATCACGATAATTCCCGAGGCGAGAATGGATTTGTTCTGCCGCAATTGTTAGTTCGTAGAGTAAATTTAAAACCTTGGTCCGTAACCGTGCGTCACCGTGGCTGACACGCATTTGTAGGGCCTCTTGTAGGGCTTTCCAAAGAACAGTCAACAAGGGAACCCGGCCGGGTAATAAGACCACGCGAAGTCCGCAGTCCGCACCGCACCAAGGTCCAAGCGTTGGTCCAAGCCAAATCCGCACCGCACCAGGCCAGATCCGCACCGCACCACTCCAAAATCCGCACCAGCCGAACAAGCCCGCACCGACGAGATCTCGTCGAAATTGCCATACTTTGCAGTCTGGCTCCTATGCAACTGTTGCAGCGATTGCAAGTGTTACCATCATCAACACTTATGTCTATGCTTTGTCTTCAAAATAATGTATGTCCATATGTAGTTTCCAGACTATAGTTCATCGCTTTTTTAAAAGCAACATTCGAAACGAGACAAAATGTACAAGGCGGCTTTCTCCGCCGGTCAGCCCAGAGAAGAGCCTGTTCAAGAACGCACAAACGACGCAGAAAAGTATTGATGGAAAAACTCATGATAAACGTAAAGATTCCATCCGGGAGGACGGACATGCCGTGGCGATCATGACTGAAAGGGATCTACATTAGAAGAAAAAAAAACTTGAGATCAAACATGTTTTCTGTTAATGCTATTGAAAGAACCGCACATCAGTATCCGGACACCATGTACAATGATGCAAACATAACTGAAAATTAAAAAAAAAGTTTCTCCAATTCTTCTTGTAAGAATCACCACAAGTATATAGGAACTTTCCGAGCTGGAAGGATAAGTCATATACACGATCACTCACCCAGGAGACGCAATACGACAGAGAACATCTCTTTACAGAGTGCAGCGCCCTGTGATCACACACGTCACACAGGACGGTGAGGCCGTCGAGGAGCTCCTCGAGCTGACCGGTGACCACTAGGGCGCTGGGCTCTCCCCACGACGGACAGTCCTCTTCTTGGACGTCTTCATCTCCGTCACCCTCTCCAGGCCAAGCCGGTGTGTCTGGCTCATCATCCGAGTCGTCCGAGTCATCGCTGTTGGCAGAATGACACCAACTTCAAATATGAATAATAAAGAAAAAAATAATGATGCTGGGTGAAAGTTTTAATGTAAGCAGGCATCTCCGTGCTTTGTAATGCACTGGTGACGTTTTCAACCATGTCGGACAACGCATTGTGCAAATACGCTCCAAACTCAGACCGACGGATGGGGAGTTGTTAAAGGGACTATCCCACCTTCGAAAAAATCCCGTTTAGGATTCGGAAATGTTACTTAGGGCATTGTGACGAATTCTGCAAGTTTTTACGCGTTTTCATTGTATACTTTTTGAAATATTGCGACTTTTATATTTCATCGTGACGTCATTTAGATCGGATCTGTGACGTAATGAAGGATTTACTTCATGCCAATGAAGGGGGAAATTTGGCAGCAAATATATTTGCTTTCAAATATGACGCGGCTCATACAATAACAAAAGTGTCTCTGATTGGGCATTTTGTAGTTGGTGGTATGATAGTCAACTACGCGCCCTAATCCACGAAGAAGAAGAAGAAGGTATGATAGTCAATGTAAGTATGTTTGACTTCCTGCATGTAAAATTCAAATACTAACATCACAATTCACATAGGAAAGGAACATATTTTCACCATAACTTTTAAAAAATTTGTGTCAATTTGGAATACAATTGAAGTGAACAAGTGTGAAATTTGAATGAAAATATCCAACATTCCTGACCTAACCTTACCTACTTTGACTTTCCTAAAAAGTTTGTAATACCCTTAATACCAACCTAAAACCCCCATGCCAGATGTCTACAACATACAAAACTTTCAACCAGCCTACTACAGTAACACCTCACAACCTATTCCATTCTGAACCTATTGATTGGGATTTTTGTATACCTACTTTTACTCATTGCATCCTAGCTTGCTATTATAGCAAACATGCAGGTATTTAAAGAAATGTTTTGTTTTTCCTTCTTAGCTGTTGAAATTTCTTGAATGCCAACACAACACAACACACCATGCGCACGACAGAGGTCTCCGTCACTGCGGAAGGAAGATCGCAATGCTGCTTGGAGGCTGTTGACAGAAAGTGATCAGTAAGTTATGACCCTATGCATAATGCTACAATTATTATTTTTTGTATGCAGGGAGTTGGTCAGAGATTGAACATGTCTCAGCATCATATATTTGAATGCTGATAATTATGTATACGAGCATTGACCAATCAATTGAAACTAGAAAAGTAGATAAGTGCTTAACAAAATGGATTGGTGAAGATTAGATTGCCTATATAAAGCATGCAATGTTGACTACATAACATACTGCATAAAATGTAGTCTGTTCCATATTATGTTTGCGCCTATGGTCAAAGCTGCTTCTTCAATTTGCTTCTTCGTTCAATGTAGGGATGTAGCCAAGGGGGTGGCCACGGGTGTCATGGTCTCCCCCAAAGGCGAGAAATTAAATAAAATAAAATAAAGATAAATAAAAACAGCTGTACCATACCCCCAAAAATAGTGGGCCAAATCCGAGTTTTCTTTTTTTGGAGGGGGTACGACACTAGGCCGCGACCTGTGGCCCCTCCCTCAGTAAAATCTTGGCTATGGCTCAATAATTTGAGTCTATGCTTTATGTCTATGACTATTCTATACAGGAGCTATGCAATCCTGTTTTCTTTCTAGGTTCATGCTGTTCTGAGGTGAAACATTTTCCTGGCATGGTGGCACTTTGTCAGTGTGGGGTGAGGTAGGCATCCACTGTGATGTGGCTGACCCTGTCGGCTCCCACTCCCCCTCTGACCCGGCCATGCGTCCCGCCAGGTTGTCGTGTTCCGCCAGCTGCTGCGCCGGGGTTGGCAGCGCACAGCCGCTACCAGCTGACACGCCGACCGGTGCGCGGCGCGCGTGCGCCGGGCGCCGACGGCCGCCGTCTGGCAGCAACAGCGCTGCCAGTGACTCGCGCTGCTGCTGCAGAAACTGGACAAGGATCGTAGAATCCTGGCGTGTTTTTGTAACGTCCATTAGAGTGATTTAGACGCAGCGTGTAGAAAGGACTCGTTTATTGACGTGTGACTTTCTGACAGCTCAGTCACCTGTTGACGGCGGCGCACAGCGTCACCTACCCGCCCTACAGCCGGCCCAGCAGGGTGAGTAGTGAGTACCAATACCCGCCCTGCAGCCGGCCCCAGCAGGGTGAGTAGTGTGTACTGAGTAGCGCTCAGAGTTAGCTTGAAGTTGTTGAACATGATGCACTGTTTTTCATGAGTCGTCCCCATCGCTGCTTGTGACTTGCAAGTTCCTTCTTTTTCGGCAGTGCGTCCCAATTATATCAGCGATTTTCACCTCTGAGAAGTGTAGTTGCCGTACTAGTGAAAAAGCGTGTATCTTTGAAATAAACATTCCGTTTCATCTGCCCACTACCACTAACGCCCCTCTGCCCTCTCCTGCAGCGGACGGGGAGACCCACCTGACCGCTCCTTCCCCCTGTTTTGCTGCAGGCGGGGAGGCCCGCCCTGACCTTCTCCTCTACCCTCTGCCCTCTCCCGCAGCGGACGGAGAGGCCCGCCCGGGCCCAGTGCCGCACGGAGAGGCGGCGGCGCTGGAGGCCAACACCCCGGGTCGCGGCCTGTAGCTGACGGTGCTGGAGCCGCGAGTCACCGTGGTGGCTGGCCATGGAGACTTGGAAAAGGTGGGTCTCCGCGCAGCGGAGGAAGGGGCGGCGGCTGACAGTGGTGGCCGCCAACGGGGAGCTGGGCGGCGTGGGTCCGTGCATAGCGGGGATGTTCGAAAGGGCAGCATCAGCTGCATTGTTTGAAGAGCTGCTGCAGTTAGGCGTTGAGATATGATCGCAGACTTGCAAGGAGATGGGCTCCTGAGATGCGTGCTTTTTTGCTCCGATGATCCGGCTGATCGCTGTTAATCTATGAGGTCGCATCACCCGCCCGCGGTCACCAGGCCGGGGAGGTATATACGTCTACAGCAGCTGTGTTATTTGTCTGTCCCGGTTGTATCACCCAGTCCTCCCCCGTCCCCAGGCCGGTGAGGTGCGTCTCCCAGCATTGCTGGTGTATTGTTTATCTGTCCCGGTTCCCCCGTCCTCAGGCCGGTGAGGTGCGTCTCCAGCTGCGCTGTCAGACGATCCAGTGGAACGAGCAGCAGCCCATGTACCCGTCCCGGCTGTGCCGGTGTGTCTCCCAGCTTGAGCGGCGCCGGCCGACCGCTGCGCTGCTCTACAACTGCCACGTCCACACACGATGCACGGTCAGTCATTATACCGAGTAATGCTAATTATAACCGCGGGTGTTTTGTTAGAATGGCCCTGAGAGTGTGCCTTTGTTGTGTGATTATTGTTGAGTGCGTTTTCTAGTTGTGAAGTACACTGTGGTAGGCTCGACATAACTACTCATTAGAAGTGGCGGGAACACTGCTCCAATGCCCTATTGTCGATTGGAAATGAATAACTACGGCCGCGGCTCCTGACTGTATCCCTTTTCCCCGTGCGCCCTACAGGTGACGGCTGACCAGGCGGTGCTGGTCTCGGCCGCGGCCGACGGCCAGCCCGCCCAGGAGCACCAGGTCGCCTCGCTCTCCTCAGCCTGGGTCTACTGGAAGGCCCTGCTGGCGCCGGCCCTGTGGGCCGGCTCCCAGCACCCGCTCACAGCAGGTGTGCCACTACTGCCAGCTGAGCGTGCGCCAGGGCGGCCGCCTGCTTCGGCTGCACCGGAGCCTGCTGGCGCCCGGCCGGGGGACCGCCGGCGCCGAGCCAGCCGGCTCGCAGCTGGACCTGCCACTAGAGACGGACCTGTGGGACCTGGACGTGCGGCTGTGTCAGACCGGCTGGTGCTGGGCCGGCGCCGCCCGGTGCGCTGTCAGCTGGACGGCCGGCCCGTGCTGGCCGCGCCCCAGGCGGCCGACGCGCCGGCTCCCGGCGGCGAGCGGGCGGTACGGGCGCTGCTGCAGCTGCCGACAGCTGCCGCCGCCGCGGACAGCTGCCCGCTGCTGGTGGTCGTCTCCGAGCCGGCCCTGCTCTGCTGGCAGCCGGCACTGCTGCTCTGGCTGTCCCTGGCCACTCAGCTGGCCAGCAGCTGAGTGGCCCGGCGCCGCCGCCACTGCCCCAGCCGCCCGAGCCGCCGCCGCCGCCGCCGCCGCCGCCGCCGCCGCCAGCGGAGGACCGGGCGTCTAGCCGCTCCGGCCGCCGCTCGCCGGCCGTGGATGTGCCCCGGCCGCACGGACACTCAGGTACCTCGCGATCGGCACGGAGCCACACCACGGAGAGGAACCTACCTGCAGTGTCATCCAACACCCCCGCTGCGGCGGCCGTCTCCCCCACTCCGCCGGCGCCGCCCGCCGCTCCGACTTTGGCCTGGCTGCCGGCCCTGGAGCGTCTGGAGGTGCGCCTTCAGATCAGCGCGGTCACCGTCACCGTTCCGGCCGGTCCAGAGAGCGGCGGCGGGGCGGCCGGGGACGCGGAGCGGACGGCGGACCCGCTCCCGGCCGCGGCCGGCCACCACCCGGCGCCGGTACCGGGCCGGGTCCGCAGCAGCAGCGACTCGGGCCACCGGTACTGCCTGCACGGACAGCTGGTCTCTGTGCTGCCGTCAGTCCGACTGGACAGCGCTGCGCTCAAATCGGCCGCCCTGCCGACAGTGCCGGAGGTGCCCGTCCGACTCACCAGACCTTCAGCGGCCGCAGGTCAGTCGCGGCCGCCGCACGGCCAGCTCATACCGGCCGCTGAGGAGGGCTTTTCCATAAAACTCTCAGTGCTAGTGATTTTGGCATTGGCATGGGGGCGGGTATTAGTACTCACTACTCACCCTGCTGGGGCCGGCTGAAGGGCGGGTAGGTCACGTTGTGCGCCGCCGTCAACAGGTGACTGAGCCGGTGTACCGATCCAGGACCTCAATTATGATTATAAGTAAAACGGGATGTAGGGATGAAGTCAGCTTGTGCTCAAGACTGACGTCATGAAAATCGACACGTGAATATAGCGGGCATGTTTGCTCCCTGCCCTGCTGCCGTGCGGTCGTTCGAATCTCTCCCAGTTTGTCGGCCCGTGTGTCTGTCTGTCCCGTCCCCCGCGTGTCTCTCCGCCGGGTGACGCCGCTCTGTCTGTTCCAGCCGGCTCCCAGCTGCGCTCGCCGAGCCAGACGCAGCAGGTGATGTCGCCGTCGGTCGTGGTGCGCGACTGTGCGCCCATCCCGCGTCCAACGCCTCCCCCCCCCCCCCTCCACAACGCGCGCTGTAGCGCCTGCCGAGCGCCGGCTGCTGCCGGGCCCGCCGTCGTACTTTTATGGCCTTGCGCCGTCAGTCGCCAGCTGGTGGTGGCGACCCGTGATCGCTCGCGTACGTTCGCCGGCGCGCCCATTGCAGAGAAGGGGTTCGCGCATGCCCATTATAGAGGGGCGCCCTTGCGGAGGCGGTACGCGCTACGCTGTAGACACTACTGCTTGTACCTGGTTGGGTAGCTCCTTTGCACATTGTTTGTTCATGGATGTAAATACAAGTTACATGACTGATGAGTGTAATGCTTACATTTTTGATCTAAGAAATGCCACAGGGCAGGTTACCTCGGTGAGTTTCTGATATCAACATACTGAACATAAGAGCAGAATAATTATCCATAGAGCGTTAAGGATTTTAGTCACCGAATTCACCTGTCAGTAATTGCATATGGTGGCACCATGAGCATGAGTACCTTGCCTTGTCCGATCCTTTTCACAACAAGCAAGTAGAATCTGGGAAAAGCAGTGCTCTAAAATTGGATATTGGTTGGGTGTGCCGATGAAGAAGAAAAAAAATCCTAGGATGAGAAAAACAGAAAGAAAATAACTGCAGTATTTTTGTAAACTGGTGTAATGCCAATTTTTATGCTTACTGATAAACCAGGATTTCATGTCAGGATCTTGACAGGGTGTGGAACAAAAGGATGTGGGTGCATCAACTGTCAAGTGACAACTGACAAGTGAGCTGGCTGTTGGGAATACATGAAACTCTTTTCAGAGATCAAGTAAAGTCGGTCATTCATATTTTAGGGATAAAAATATTTCCCCATTAGGTGTGATTTGCCACCAAAAAGGCTGAAAAATGAAACACTGGGGAAAAGGCAGGGAACTTACAAAGCATGCGCATATGTAGATAACTGATGATTGTCTCTGTTCAAGCATGATCTGAGTCTGCAGCCTGTTCTGTTCCACATGAGTTACCGGGACAGCATCACACATGAATTTCTGCGTGCTTTAAAGTTTAAAGCACGCAGATCCATTTAAAGTTTAAACAGAAATGCCTTCATTTCCTTAAAATATATTCATTTTTCACACAAAGACAACAAAAATGTACATGTAGGTGGGTGCTGTGGCAAGAAATTACATACAAATGTATTTTGCCATGTAGGTACCCTTCTTTCACAGCACAATCATCAATCATAATTAAGAGCACCAAGACGTTCTTTGCGACTTGCGAGCCCAGCCGTGTCAGACCAGCTGATGCAGGGGCTCTGTCACAGGGGGCACAAGGCCTAGTTGTTATGTCACAGCACAATGTTGTATAACCTGCTATTCAAGAACACTTAAATCTTGAAAAACCTGTAGCTCTCTTTTGTCGCCTCACTTTTCGCACTCTTGACAAATCAGTCGGATCAAGACTGAAACTTGAAGAGGATAAGCTCTTTTGTGGGATGTACTTGCAGTTTCAATTCAATGACATAAATTACTCGAAATTACCATTGAAATTGTACTGTACCATGACGAATCTACCATTGAAAGAAAATTGTATCATATTCATGACCCTGCTATAAAAACTGAAACAAGCTCCAATTGCATATGATAAATTTGGCGATGTTTATAAATCTTGCTGCCTTAAACAAGCAAATCTTCAATTTGTTTCCATTTCAGGAAATGGAAACAAATTGAAAAAAATAAAACAAACGGTAAATTTATCCAAACCCAAGTCCAAACCCAAGATAATCAATCAATTACTAATTATCGCCGAGGCCGCCGCTGGGTGCCGCCGGGGCGCCGAGTCAGCAAACGCCAGCTTATTCGTAAATCAAGTGATACTCTACTCGAATGCGTAAGAGGCGTTCAAAGGGCAAATGACGTCATCAGAATGCCGTTAATGGTTAAGAGATTGGGCCTTGTACAAGGCCCATTTTCAAATGAAGGGAACGAATTTCTTCAACACCACGAGGCCGCGGGGGTTGCAACCTAGATAGATAGTGGTTTCTGAACCTCGCCGCAAACTTGGCTATCTCAACTCAAATTTAATGTAAAGGTGGGATAGTCCCTTTAACGAGCCGTTTTACGCTGATGACTGGTGACAGTTCCAACTACATTTACAATTTACAATCACAATTACTCGTTACAATTACAACTACTCGTTAAAATTACAATACGTTTTGACGTCAAAACATTATAACTAATTGATTTAAATGAAAGCGATTATTATTCGGTGCCATGGAATCATATCATGCACCCACGCACATACCATGCTTCCGAAAAGGAATCACAATCGGTGATCAGTGTTGGCCCAAAAAAGTATTATGCGCCACTAACCTGTCTGGGAAGCGAGAAGGTGTCCACGGATCTTCGGGCCCCCGCGACGCCGTCGTCTTGACGGAACTGCGAATGTGAAGTGTCTATGAATAGCATTAAATAGTATTGCTAGCCTTTCCATTAGCACTACAGACACTTCGAAAACCGACTCTATTTTGATAATAAATAAGAGCAAGCGGAAAAACAGGGTGTCAAATATTATGACATTAAACTAGGCTTACACCACAAGAGAATCTATTTTGGTCCACCGAATAGGAATCTCTTTTGGAGTAAGTCCAGTTCAATTTCATAACATATATTTGCTCTCCACATTAACATGTCTCTAAAAAGGGTGTCGATGTGTCTCTAATGCGAATGAACAGCATACTTGCTGACGGTTGGCTATGGTGTTATTGTTACAGTACCGATGGAAAACCAGAACCATTGCAACGATACTAGCACCGTTGCAACGACCTGGTATTCCAGCGGTCCTGTAATATTATATTTATCATCCAATATAACAATGAATTCACACGATGGTTAATTCATTCGAGGCACATCGAAAAATCACAATCAAGCTAATACATATAAAACCATCAAACAGACGCAGTGGCAGTGGCGCAATGTCAGCGTCGCCTTATACTTGGAAAAGTCCAAAATATAATGACAAAATGCCAAGCCTACCTTGGAGTCCATGCTGCTGGTGTAACATCACGTGACGGTGCCGGCTCCAGACGATGTGAAGCAGCAGGTCCCGGCGCTGAAGAAACCTGTAGGCACATCATCACCAGCATCTCATATTTCAGTACCAACTGTCATATCGCCAAAAACTGACGTTTTCGGATTTGACCTATTTGCTAGCGTACACCAAATTCACAATTTAAATAGTTTTATTTTTAACCAGTATCTGTGTCCACGAGTACAGCCATCAGATCATTCCCCGCTTTAAGAAGCACGGAAATCAAAACCCCCGTCGACGGTGATACCCCCTGTTTATGGATTCATCATTTTCAGACAAGGTGGCCTGGTTAGTACTGAATGTAAATAGCCGAGCATTACCATGTCAAGGAGCACTAGGATGGCTTGCTTTGGCGCCACTCCATGCTCACGAGCGAACGCCTCCAGCCTCTCCCAAGTGGACCGGGGCACCACGAAGCGGCGACGACGTACATCGGCGCTCTGTGAGAGGCGCCTCCGCTTCTTTGCTGATGCAGACCTGCTCAGATAATAGACAAGCAATCCAATAGTAAACACCTATTACGAAATGTAGACATAGCTTGGGCAAGTAATCTGATATTGATAATTAATGATAAGCAAGAACCATGTGTATAGTGCAGTGCAAGGATAAAATACTTCGCGGTGTAATAGTTATAATGCAATCAACGATATTTATAGAATACTTATTATTTATACTAATACTTATTAATTTATAGAATATTTATAGAATTCAGATGATTATCAAGGCATTGGTAAGCTGACATTTGCCGACCAGTGAACACTGCTTTCTTGAAACATTTCATTCAATAGGGTAGGGTGGGGTACTTTGGACATAGTGGCCATAGTCGCCAGGAATTGGCGACCATTTCCGTAATTGGGTCTAAACTTATAGCTCCTAAATATTTCCCCGAATTTCATAAAACAACTATGTCCAAATTAACCCAACCTACCCTATCTTTCACAGTTAACTTTAAGTTACTGTTGAATACAACAAATCCTAGGGTTCTCACTCTATGCAAAGGCTGATAAATTGCTATTGATAAATTACAATACCAGTACACTGCAGTTAAGCCAGAGCTGGTAAAAAACATACTCACAAGGTTAAACTTAAACGCCGTTTGCCATTCCGATGCTGGCGTATACGCTGGGTTGGGCCCAAGTCCGCTGCAGGGTCGCTGGCCGCTGGCGGCGACAGGTCCGCTGCAGGGTCGCTGGCCGCTGGCGGCGACAGGTCCGCTGCAGGCTCGCTGGCCGCTGGCGGCGACAGGTCCGCTGCATGGTCGCTGGCCGCTGGCGGCGACAGGTCCGCTGCATGGTCGCTGGCCGCTGGCGGCGACAGGTCCGCTGCATGGTCGCTGGCCGCTGGCGGCGACAGGTCCGCTGCAGGCTCGCTGGCCGCTGGCGGCGACAGGTCCGCTGCAGGGTCGCTGGCCGCTGGCGGCGACAGGTCCGCTGCATGGTCGCTGGCCGCTGGCGGCGACAGGTCCGCTGCATGGTCGCTGGCCGCTGGCGGCGACAGGTCCGCTGCAGGGTCGCTGGCCGCTGGCGGCGACAGGTCCGCTGCAAGGTCGCTGGCCGCTGGCGGCGACAGGTCCGCTGCAGGGTCGCTCCTGGCGGCGACAGGTCCGCTGCATGGTCGCTGGCCGCTGGCGGCGACAGGTCCGCTGCAGGGTCGCTGCTGGCGGCGACAGGTCCGCTGCAGGGTCGCCGCTGGCGGCGACAGGTCCGCTGCAGGGTCGCTGGCCGCTGGCGGCGACAGGTCCGCTGCAGGGTCCACCTCGATGACGATCGACACCTGGAGATTACGAGAAAGATTGAAACGGGAGTAAAAAAATAGCAACGGAATCAAGGCACCGAAGTTCGCAAATCCACGAAAGTGCGATCACGCCGCGAGCGAATAATGAGACGAGTTAAGGTCTACGCACACCTTGTATCATTCGGTAAGCGACTTTCCGTTGGCCGCAGGAGGTCACGGCGATATTTGATTTCCCCGGACGCCGAGTCCTGGTTGGCGGAAACACGTTGCTATACTTTCCGCTTTGCTCGTGATTCGGCGTCCGGGGAGGCCAAATGTCGCCGTGACTTCCTGCGGACAGTGGAGTCTTCCTGCATACGACTATCCGCGGGCACGAACTGAGCGGGCACGAAACAACACGGAGCGGCTGACTGCCCACGGCTATATGCAGTGACTGGCTGGCGCGGCGGTACCGCACACTGGAGAGGAAGATGGAAAACATGAACAAAATTCCACAAGGCAATCACGGTTTATGGAGGCAGACTAGCCTATTAAGATTATAAAAAATGGGCAAAGTACTGAATATTGGCATAAACCATCGATGCAATGTTGAATGCAATGTTGAAAAATCGCCCAATATTTCTTGGACTCGTACTGGCTAGAGCTGTCTGACATCTTCTGTTCTGTGGTTGCTGTAATTACGAGTGAACGAATTCTTGCAGAATTATGAGAAAAAAAAACTCGAGTAAGAATGATGATAAAGCAAGTGTAGACATTATTTTCTGTTGTCTTCAAAATGGCTATCAATAATTTTCGTAAATATCGATGGTTTATGAAATAAGAGGGGTGGGAGTTTGACCCGCAATGGGCGTTTTGCCCCACTCTACCCTATCCTCACCTTATAGGGGACAGCAGCCTTCTTGAGAAAACCCGAAGGGCGATAGTCGTCCTCTTGAAAGTGTCGGCTGCACACATACAGTGTCCGGTTTCTGTCAGGCCCCGAGATGCCTAGAGCGTTGAGCCAAGCCTCTCTCCTGCTACCAGAAGCTGGTATCCTATGGAATAAGAAAGGAAGCCTCAAGAAATGTCATATAGTCGTGTCTGATTTGGAATGAGTCAATCCCCATGTGAAAACCCAAGTCCCAACACTTAATTGAAAGAAAAATGAACTACTGAATATATCACTTCAACTTTTATTTTGACACTCCAAAATTCTTCACTGATCTTGTAACAATCAAAGTTTTAACATATTTTTGCCAAAGGTAAAGAAAATTCATGTTTCAAAGTTATCGATAAACAGTAAGAGATGTCCGTTTTCTTGAGCTAGAAAAATGGCTTCAAATTGAACTTTGGTCTCCGATTTCTCGCTTACGGGTTCGAACTTCGGAAAACCGACTTCAGGGTGTGGCATAGGTGGGTCAGCTCTAGTGAAAACCGTTTTGTGTAAAAAGGTGAGTCTTCCTTCAACATGATACGTCACTCACGAAGCAAAACAGAAACAAGAAAAATCACATGTATGTTATATGAACATCTTGTACAAATAGAATGCGTCGTTGTACAGTCTGAACACATACTTCACTGCAATTTCAATTGCTTACCTGTGCAGTGCAGTCTGTGTTTGCTCAGTTTTGTGGGATGATGTGTGGTTTTCACATCCTTCCACACAACATAGGTTCTTCATGGTAAATCTGTAAGGTGTGCAAATTTGTATTACTATTTCATATCAATATCAGGCAGGTTAGGATTATTGCTATTCCAATTTCAGCAAAAATCACTAAGCATTGGTTACTATTGCGTTTGTAATTCAGAAGACAGAAGTCATCCCCATAGAAAACAGGGAGGTGGTTCCAAATGATGGCAGAGAACTGGGATAATCCAACGGTAGGGAACTGGGTCTGGTAAGCTGCAGTAGAAGTAACGATTTCACGTTAGTGGACGGCGGGAAGTGGTTCAGCCAGCCGCGAATGGCAGCGAAACTGGGTCTCCATGTATGTAGGTACTGAACGACAGGAGACCATTCACTGCAGACGACAGGGGACTGTGCTGAGTAGGTGACAGCGGACGACAGCGAACTGGCTGGCTCCAGTGTGTGGATGGCAGAAGTGACTTTCTCGAAGAAGTGGAACAGAAGTGACTTTCTCAGCTTCCCACTTCTTTCCACATCATTTTAGCATTGTATCATTTAAATCATTAGGGGCCAGTCTGCAAAACATGGCAAGGAGCTCGATAATATTTTTAGGGCAAACAAAATCCTGCCCCGAATCAGAATGATGTGACCAGGAGCAGCAAAATGCCTGCCCCTAATTATCTAAATGATATAATGATACCTATACCTACCTAATGGTGTGGGAAGAAGTGAGAAGCTGAGAAACTCACTTCTGTTCTATTTTTTTAAACTTCTGCCCCATATTTTCTGTTTCTGACCTAACATTCCTGAAACCTGCCACTTTTTCTGCCCCAATCTGTGGTGTCTGCCCTGACAAGATCTAGTCAAAACCTGCCGCATTTTGCAGACTGGATTAGAGGTAGGAATGGGGCTGCCCCTGGTCTCAGTATTCTAAATTGGGGCAGGATTTTGTTTGCCCCAAAAAATTTGTTGACGTAACTGCCACGTTTTGCAGACTATACATGACACAAAATTACAGCAGTGCGCCAGACTAAACTCTGATGGAGTGCATGGAAACATCCCATAGATGGTGCGACTTGTTATTTACATCACAGGAAAGATGTGCCAGTTACATACTTTTCGGTCTGCTTGGAATGCACATGCACTGATAACATTGGATTATGTAACGCAAGCAACCAGTGGACGGCCTCAAATTAATTGTGGAATAAAAATTAATGACAAACACAGGACAGAGGGGGCAGTCAAAGAGCATGGGTGTAGGAACGTATCTCTTTGGTGAAGGATACCCTTCAGCCAGTCTGCAAAACGTGGCAGGTTTTGACGAGATCTCGTCGGGGCAGATATCATGGATCGGTGCAGAAATCGGGGCAGGTTTGAGGAATGCTGGGGCAGAAACTGGAAAACCTGGGGCAGAAGTTGAAAAATTGGGACAGAAATGCTATGCTCAGCTTCACACCACCTCCCACATCAATATAACGTTAGATCATTCTCATTATTAGGGGCAGCAATTGACCTGCCCCGGGTCTCAGCATTCTGATTTGGAAAATCTCGTCGAGCTCCCTCCCACATTTTGCAGACTGGCCCTTCACAAATGTTTCAAAACGATGAAGGATCACCGATCATTCACCAATAGTCCGGCCAAATTGAGCTAAGATGGAGTTTCTCCAATGAAATATTCTCCAATATTTTTTATAGATTGGTTTCTATCGAGCATAAACACACAGATACCATGTCGAAAAGAGTCAGTGATGCATGCAGATGACCCAGCAAAGTTATGGCCGACTATTTGACAATGACAATAACATGACCCCATCCAACCCCATCCTCCACCCATATTTTGTCTGCTCCTACACCCATGTCAAAGAGCTAGCTAAGAACAAATTATCATTTATGATGTCCATAGCAAACCATCCGCATAGGACATTTCGATTTGCTGAAAAACAAGATCAATACCACCCTGACCCGACATCCATATCAATATCTCAATCTAATTCATAAGCAGTACCTATTTCTGCAAGACTTTCTGAAAGGAAAAATACATATTCCCATATTTTTCTTACCTATGCCTTCGTACGGAAAAACAGAACTCATATTTCGCCTCACTTCAAATTCTTGCCGGCCATGTGTTTCAGTTTCTTCCGATCGAGGTCAAGTTCAAAAGCCACCATATGAAAGAAAAACTTCAAACGTCTCACAATGCTGAAGCCCATTTCCCACACTTTTTTCAAAAACCGACATACGGGATATAGGACTTCATAGTTTGTTTTTACCTTCTGAAATAATCTTCTGGTACGATTTTGCACAATATCATTACACAAAAACATGAGAAAAAATAGCTAATCCATCGTATACCATTCCCGACCATGAATGCATGAAGGTTTTTTTGAACATGGTAAAAAAATCCAGTCGCCTTAGACATGATTCCTTTGTAATATTATTGCATTTTATTTGAAAAGTAAGGTTGTATGTTGATAATTAATATATAATTTTCAAAGAAACTGGCCATGTTTAATTTGTTTTGCATTTAACTTCGTAAAACATTTAAAAATCATAGCTCATTTGGAATGGGTCTGGCCCATGTTAAACCCCATTTCCCACACTTTTTTGGAAAAAATGAACTACTGAATATATTAGTTTAAATTTTATTTTGACACGTCAAAATTCTTCTCTGATTTCGAAACAATCAAAGTTTTGACATATTTTTGCCCAAAGATAAGAAAACTAATGTTTCAAAGTTATCGATAAACGTAGAGATGCCGGTTTTCTTGAACTAAAAAAATGGCATCAAACTGAACTTTGGTCTCCGATTTCTCGCAAACGGGTTCGAATTTCGGAAAACCGACTTCAGTCTGGGACATAGGTGGCTCAGCTCTAGTGAAAACCATTTTGTGAAAAAAAGGTGGCAGTCTTCCTTTAATTAACGCCTATGTTAACACGCTTAACGCTTATGTTTGTCAAAATGCGAAAGAATTTGTCAAACGGCTGAGTGGTGGGGCGAACCGTACTTGACCGTAAAAGTTGTAGGGCACTGTTGGACAGGGGATGCGCTGATTGCTAGTAGTCTGCACCGTTGGGGAGATTTCTCTCAGAACGGGGGTCAAAGCCCGCGAAATCAAAGATCATTCACTCTTTGTGAGGACTGAAACTGTGTTCATGTCTGGCAGTCGTTAAAGTATATTGTTTCTGTATGTTGCATCTGTGGCGGCCCCTCGAGCAAATCACGAAAGAACAGGACGTAGAGATACAAATCGCTCTCCTTATTACTCGGTGGCTTGACACGAAACAAAATATCACATGTGTATTCTGAAAACCACACGGGACACCAATAGCTCGACGCCGAGTCCATTCCTCCGAACCGGCCTATCTGCGCCATACAGTCATCCCGATTCACAGCACCACAGCCCCTATCCAAGCCTCATTTTACTGTTACGGTAAGGGCGGAACAGTCGGCATGCAAGGCCACATTCGACGAGAACAAAGGATAAGTGGCACAGGTTGTCCCTTACATTTACTATTTGATACTGATTTACTGGACGCTGGTTAAGTGGGAACGCTATTGAGATACCGCTTGGTAGGAGGTACGAACACAGGTTAGAAGAGCTGGCTGACATATCACTGAACGATAAATTCGTCGTGATCATATAGTTGTAACAAGACATTTACGCTGCGCTCTAGCAGACGCTCAGCCGACCACGGGCGATCACACGGTTATGTGATAAAACGCACGCGGTACAAATATTGCTGACCTGCTGTAACCAGCCTCTGCCATAGCCGTCAACAGTTTGACATTTCAGCAGCACATTTTTCGCTGGACCACGACACATAAAGATCGTTTCAGTTCACGTACCTCTTATTTTATACCAATATCCGAAAAAAAATTTCAAAATATGCCGTCATAGCCTCTAAAATGCCAGCATCCGTCGAAAATTAGGACATTACAACAGCATCGAAAGACAATAATAACCATAACAGCGATACGCTAAGAATGCTTTTCGCTAGCAATACTTCCAGTCCCACCCAAAAACACTTATTTTCGGGGCAGAAATGTAAACGTAGATAATAAGAAACGATTGCACATGAATAGCCAGCATAACAGTAGCCGACTTACTTGGCCAGTTTATGCATACGAGCGCGGTGCGTGTTATTTGATCGATTCCCTTCGAAGACAATTCCCTGAGAACTTGCATCTGGCCGCTTGGCGACTTCGTCCATTATACTAATGCTACTTGACTAACTGACCAAATTTAATGTCTCGCTTACGTTTCATGAGACAAATGGCTGTCTGCCCCTAATGACTACACCTACTGACATGTATACCCATGGCACTCCCCTTTCTCTATGCTATTGCATTTACTCGCCAAGAAAGTAGATTCTCATGGAGGACAGCATTTGAGACACTATACATTTTTTCTGCCTTATTTTACGTCCTGAAATGCGTCCAACTGCCCAAAAGTACATATATCACTCAACTGGCAAACCACAGGAAAGGACATCACCAAACGGTAGCTCACAAACATTCTAGGTCGATCAAACCAACGACAGATTCAGGCATGGTTCACCGCCTAAGGAACTAATCGACAAGGAAAATATTTCACATGCTATGTTAACCCTAATCCTCGGCAATGTCACCGTACCGTCAAGCTCAGTTCCAGAAATAGTTGTCAAAGCAAACTTAACGTGGCCCAGTCAGTTTTAACACAGCATCTCTGGTCAAGCCACAGACAGCTGCAGGCCACAGTAATCGCAATACCCCGTCCGCCTCCGCACACATCACAGGTTCTTCAGTACACCCATTCTCACAACAGGGTCCCTACTGTCCCTCAGTCCCGGTAGTTGGTCCTCTACCACTCCCTAAGTCCAAGACACCCCTCCCTCTATCCCTCTCTAAAATCCTACCCACCTCCCCTCCCTCAGTCCAACCAGTCCCACGGCAGCGTGCACGCTCCATCCCCGTCCACGGCGTAGTAGTGCGCCACAGAGATTCGCCAGTCGGTCAGTACTGGAGCCAGGCGGTGACGGTGTGCCAACATCCGGCGGCAGCAGGCCAGCATCTGCTGCGGTAGAATGTTGTCCTGCTTCTCCAGCCGGCGCAGACCGAGCGCCGCCGCGCACTCGGCCGTCACCGCCGACTCATCGTGAGATAAACTGCACAGGGGGAGAGGGATTAGACCGGCGAGTTGCAAAGATGATCGGGTGATACAACTGATTGACACGCATCACACACTGCTGTCTGAGTAGTTCAATGTTTACGCAATACGCATGCAGTCACGTCTTAAACAACAAACAACTGACGAATGACATGTTCAGTTTGTTTTATGTTATTTCTGAGAGGGTTAAATATGCCTTACCGAGTGTACTCCTCCAGTTTCTGTTCCGCTTCTACCATACAATCGGTAATATACCGCACCTGTAATATGAAAATACAGGAACGTCAGGGATTGGCATGTCAGCAGTTGACGCATCTTGACAACGATGAACGCATTCAAAGGGATCCAGCCTCGATATCTGAATCAGCTTCGATTGGTGAAGTTTCATGATCGGTATGACAACAAAAGATTAGGATTCATAACACATATGCCATTCAGCGAGCTAATTAACTGGAACGTTACGTTCAATATCGCGAAATAAATTCAGATCGATCTCACAGCAAATATCATCGGGAACACCCGTTCAGAATCCATTAACCAATATTCAAGCGCGCTAACTGAAGTCCACGGGGCCGGAGCGCCGGTTAACTGTATAACTGCCCACACCCTTCAGCGGAGTAGCCGGCGTCTACACTCTACGTCAGCTGCACTCACTAGCCGGTGAACACTGGCAAGAGTCGAGCTGCACTCACCAGCAGTGAAGGAGGGCAGGAGGAGGGGGCGATGATCTGGCCCATGGGTGAGAGGAACAGCGGGCCCGACTCCCTGTCGGCACACACGTGTTCAGGGCGTCAGTCGGGCGCGAGATGACATTTGGAGATAGGCGACTGGGCAGCAAATTTACAGCATATTTAAATGGACTGATGGCTTGCAACAACGCTGACCTTCATTCCATTCATTTCAGATCTAAGAAAAAAGTTACAGCAAGGGCAAGTGACTGGTGAAACATCACAGACATTCAAAAGCAAATATAATATGTCAACTCCGATTATAACTCACAAACTAGATGCATTATTTATATCGCTGTATAACACCACTTCAACAAGTAAATTTCGGCAGACAGCTGCCGGATAACTACTCACGACTCGACCACCAGCTGTAGGTGACTGAGTTTGTCGGGCCACGAGCGAGGGTAGCCGTGGCTGCCCCAGAAGTCGCCCATGCTCGTCACTAGACGGCGCAGCTGCTGCTCGTAGCTGGTCACCATGGTGATCGGCTGAAACTTCCTGACGGCAAAGGGGCGGAGTTGTAATAAGGGAACATGATGGTTCTTTCCAGGTATCACGTTCAGTATGAGAGTGCGACGCGAAAATAAAAGAAATACGAAATACGTGACTCATTATTGCATGCCACACTAACTACTTAATTGTAACCCTACTTATCACTGGTATTTCGAATATGCATACGATCAGTTCATCAAAATGAATTAGATAAACTTGGGTACTATCCATCGGCAAAACCAAAAACGCGTTCCCTCCCACCCATGGATATCTCCACCCCTCCCTGACTTTCAGAGCTCCCTGTATCCCTCCACGTACCACCATCCGCTCACCTGTGCACCACCTGGATGTCCCTGAGGTGGCGGGATAGGGCGCGCTGCAGGTGCGGCACCTTCTGCAGGTAGAGTTTGTCGTCGGCACACCGGCGGATCACGCTGATCCAGTTGGTGATTACCTCGCCACTGTTCAGGATCAGGTGGCCGTCCAGACTGACGCCCGACTCGTTACCGAATACCACCGTCTTGTCTGTCGCAGTGTCCCAAAATTAATCGACTTGGGTGTGAAACGACATCCAAATGAAAACCATTTTCCACTCTCAATTCAACCTTTCAAGATAAATTTTCCACTCCGAACGTAAAAAGCAAAGGGCATATGCGACATGCGTACATGGTCTTAAACAACATATCGATGCTTCCTACATTACACGCTCTACCCTATCAATTTTTTTTTTGTGAAAATCTAAGCCATCAATTTGTTTTTACTCCACTCTTATCCCTCGCATCTGTTGTTAGCTTTACCTTACCGGCAATTTTCCACTCTCTACACCCTGTCTACGGAATAATTTTCCCCTCTGACACCCAAGCTAACATATAATTTTGGGACTCTGGTCTGTCGGCAGCGGCGTAAGACGGGTGAGGGCGAGTCAGAAGAGCCAAAAGTAAAACAATAAAGGAAGGAGCGGCCAGTCATTTGACCAGCATAGACAAAGCTCCGAATCAAGAGAGGTCGCATTTGTTGTAACCATAATCGGATATAAGTTAATAGAAAAAGGCAAAAGCAGCTCATCGCTAAAAAAAATCCTGAAAATACAGCCAAAGTTTAGTATAGCCGAGTACCCGCTCCTGCTATTGCCAGCCTACGCCTTCTCTGAAAGCTCGTTCGCCAGTCCCGCTCACAATTTCTGGTCTAATCCATCCTCACAAGCACCCATGGCACTCCGTAGTAACTCCCTCACTCCCTCTCTCCTTCCCTCCCCTCCTTCATTCTCTCCAACCCTCTCTCTCCCGCCTTACCTCTGAGCAGCTCACTAACATCCGGATGGTGGTTGACCAGCGTGTCAAAGCTGCGCAGACACCCCCGGAAGTGTTCGGCGCCCCAGCCGCAGCGCCACTCCATCGCTGACAGATGCAGTCGCGAGACGAGCGCAGCGCGCAGGCGGCCGATCTCGGCGCGGGTGCGCGCGGACGCGGCCGCCCTGCGCCGTGTCTCGCCGCCGGTCCGCGCCAGCCACGTGCTGAGGACGAGAGGGAGGTGTTCAGGAAGGCAGTCAGATACAGCAAGGTGGAATAAGTTCACCGGTCTAATTGCAACGTGTAGGAATGTGCTAAATGCGTTTGGAAGTTCGTTGTAATGCGCCAAATTGATTGCAAGTACGAAGCAGATCGAACAAAACCTAGGACGAACAAAGCATAAAAGCACGTAGCAACGCGAACGAAAACGATGGTGTAAAACAAAGAGGTTTATACACATTGAGAGGAATCTATACAATGTGTCGCCGAATTAACGAATCATTTCATCGACAGAACCCAAAAGATCTCGATTTCTCAGCTCTTCTAAGCCCGCCTCAGCAGTATCCCGCCGTCAACTCACAACAGGGTCATCTCGGGCCTCTGCGGCGGCGCCTCGGGCTCCGCACCCATCTCAGCAAACAGGTCATCCAGGGGGTGTGTGGGTCGGCGCGGGCGGGCAGGCCGGGCGCTCTGTCCCGCTGGCAGACTGTCCAGGTAGGTGGTGGGCAGCCGGCACTGTTCCAGGACAGTGCGGACCGTGCGCTTCAGGTCCGGAGCCAGGGCGATCTGCACCGGCGCCGGAGCCGCTGTGGAAAAGAGAGACGGTTAGTGGAGGCGGCATCGTACTCAACGAGCATCCCCGACACTCCAAGCCATGGGCGCTCGATCCGGACCTCGTGGCCGCGGTGGCGGAGCGCCGGGAGGCGAGGGACGCCCTCAAGGAGCACGACTCGGAGGAGGCGAGATCCAGATGAAAGACAGCCAAGAAGTCAGTTGCGACCATGGAGGCCGAAGCACAGAAAAGGAGCTTCCACGAACTGGCGACCGGAGAACTGAACAAGCCGGCAGCCATAGGGAAGGTCACCAAGATCCTGCGAAAGATGGAGGGTGCTGCACCGGACGTCTGCCCCGGCCGGGCCATCAACGGGGACTGCGGGCAACTGCTCGCGGAGGACCGGGCCAAGGCCGAGGCGTTCGTCCGCACGTACGCCCACGTCAGTAGAAACGTGCGCCACCCCAAGCGCGACCGGATCGTCAAGACGGAGCTCCGCGGCCTCAAGGCTGCCCCGTGCTGTTGCAGGGGACAGCGCACCGACCAGTGTCAACCCTTCACCGAACAGGAAATGCACGACCAAATCCGACACCTCGGGACGAAGAAGGCGCCAGGACCGGACCGGGTATGCACCGAACACCTGCGGCACCTCGGACCGACGGCCTACCGGACCCTTCTGGCACTCATCAACAGATCGTGGTCCAACTTCGAGACGCCCGCCTCATGGCGACGGGCGACCATCATCCCCATCTTGAAGGCCGGCAAAGACCCCAAACAAGTGGGCAGCTACCGCCCGATCGCGCTCACGAGTCACATCGCCAAGCTAGCGGAGCGGATGATCGCGGCCCGGACGACCTACCTCATCGAGCGAGACCGACTGGTGCCCCCCGAACAGGTGGGGTTCCGCCGCGGGAGGTCGGCGGAGGACAGTCTGGCCCGCTTGGTCCAAACGGTTCAAGATGGCTGGAATCGCCCCAAGCCGAGACGAGGCCCGGAGGATGGCGTGACGGCGGACCGCTTTGTCCTCCTGGCGTTCGACTTCTCCCGCGCCTATGACACGATCGATCACCGGATGTTGCACCTGAAGCTCCTCAAGCTCCTCCCCAGATGTCTCGCGACCTGGATATTCCGGTTCCTTCGCGACAGGCGGGCCCGCGTAGAGGTTAACAGCGCGCACAGCAGCGAGCGCGTGTTCCGCGCGGGCCTGCCGCAGGGCTCGGTCCTCCTGGCACCGACCATCTACACGCTCTGGGCGGCGGACCTTATCGAGACCCTGCGGAACGCCTCGGACCGCACGGACGTCCTGATGTATGCGGACGACACGGCCACACTGAGCGCTGGAGCCACCGTAGAGCTCGCGGTGGCTCGCGCCCAGAAGTCGGCCGACGCCCTGGCCCGATGGGCAAGGCACTGGAAGATGTCCATCGCCGGACAGAAGACCCAGGCGCTGCTGCTGACTCAGCGGAGCAGGGACGAGCGCGGCGTGCAACTCCTGGTGAACGGCACGCAGGTCACCGGTGGCACCAGCCTACATCTTCTGGGGGTGACCTTCGACAGACTTCTACACTTTAAAGACCACTGCGACTCTCTGCGGCGGAAGGTCCGGCCGCGGACGGCACAGCTGCGGAGGATGACCGGCCGGACCTGGGGTCTCCGCGAGGCGCAGCTCAGGACAGTCGCGAACGGGTATGTCCGGGGAGCCCTTGAATACGCAGCGGGTGCCTGGCTCCCGGCCGCGTCCCCGTCACACGTTCAGCTGGTGGAGCGCGAGCTGCTGGCGGCCGCCCGGGTGGTGACCGGATGCCCACGGTCCACCCCCAGGGATCCCCTGCTGGCCGAGGCAGGCATCCCTTCAGCATGGTCCACCAGGAAGACGCTGGCCGCGCGAACGCTCGCCCTGCCGGAGGACGACCCTCTTCGCCGCGTCGCGGAGGCCGACCCACCCACTCGACTGCGGTCTACCACCGGCTGGCGACAACTGGGGCGATCGGCGCTGATCGAGGCGGGCGCCGAGGGAGTGACGGTGGAGCCGCGCCTCGAGGTTCCCCTCCTCCCGTGGACAACCTGCCGCCCGATCGCCTTCAATCTGGACGTGGGACCCGGCGGTCGCCGAGCCTCCTCCAACGAGACGCGACGAGAGGCCGCACGGCAGCACCTGGCGGCGCTCCCAGCCCAGGCCACGTGGATTTGGTCCGACGGCTCTGCGGACGCTGGGGTCAGGCGAGGAGGGGGCGGCGCCATCATCTTTACCGCGTCGGGGGAGACTCTCGAGGTTGAGGTGGCGGCGGGAGACCTCTGCTCCAGCACCCGTGCGGAGCTGTTCGCCCTGAGGGCGGCGCTGGAGCGGGTCCGGGATGAGCCGTCCCCCGCCCCGCTGGTGGCGTGCTCTGACTCACGAGCCGCCCTGAGCCTCCTCAGCGCGGGAGCGGCCGCCCAGACCTCCACTATCGGCGCGGCGATCTGGAGGACGCTGCTGGACATTGCCGAGCGCCGGCAGGTGACCCTGCAGTGGGTCCCTGCTCACTGCGGGCTGGCGGAGAACGAGCGCGCTGACGCCCTGGCCAAGCAAGCGGCCACCCTGCCCCAGGGCGCCGTGCCCTCGGACGCTCGGTCCCCGACACGGGCAGTTCATCGGACGGCCACACGTCAGTGGCGCGAAAACTGGCCCGACTCCTTTTTCAAGACTATCTTCGGGAGCACCCTGCCGCTCCCCATCCCCGGAGAGGACCGAGAGGCCGCCATCTCGGTGCACCAGTTGAGGGCGGGCCACTGGGGCCGCTCGCTCCAATACCTGCACCGGATCGGCCGCCACCCCTCCGTGGCATGCCTGCAGTGCCCCGATAAGCGGTGCCCCACGGCGCTCTGCGCCGTGTGCCGGGAAGAGGCGGACGTGCCGGAGCACGTGTTGCTCCGCTGCCCGGCCCTCGCTGGCGCCCGCCTGAGGCTAACTGGCAGCATTCACGTCGACCCGTCGCGGCTGCGGGACGCCGACCTGGTGGCTGCCTTGGAGGCCGGCTACCTTCACCATAGGGGGCCTCTCGGCTATGGTCCTCCGTAAGGAGGTCCCAGGGGGAACAACAACAACAACAACAACAGCATCCCCGACTTATGTATGCCCCCAGAAGCAAGTCGCAAATACAACAGTGACTGAACATAAAACCAAGGTATACTGGCCTAAATCTACGATGATGACAGAAAATAAAGCCAATATTCTCTGGCTACGGCCTACAATGTCAGGCTAGCAATGTCCAGCGTTCGACATCTCACCTTGGGCGCGATTCCCCTTTTGCTCGACGTCGCGAACGTAAAACGTTACGGTGCTCGGAGCCACTCGCTTTGAGTTCAGCAGCTTGTCCAGGTGTGCTTGGAGAAACTGAAGAGAGCCTTCATTCACATTCTGAAAGGGAGCAAATAAATTAATTCCGTAAGACAAAGATGACAACATTGCTAAGCATATTGTCACTGATACCGAACTTACAAAAGCCATGGCTTAAAAACATTAGAAAACCAGTCCCAAGATTGCGAGAATGAGAGCAAGAATAATTAGCCCAAGAACGATATCAGGAAAAAATGCCAGAGAACTGACGCATTCACATACACACTCGTCACTCAGTATTTCTAGTCATTATTCGCACCTTAAAGTCAGGATACTGATGAAACAGGTCAGGGTGCACCACAAAGTAGAACGGCCTGAGCGCATGTGCCAGCTGCGCAGAGCTGAGCTGTCGTGCCAGCAGCGGGCACTGGCGGCGACTGCAGCGGAGCAAGCCGACGGCCGGTCGGCGCAACATGGCTGCCGCTCTATCTCAGTGCAGGTCTGTCATCCGCTCACTGAGAATGGAGTCAGCCGCTATAAGCGGTCTGAAAACAATAGCCTGAGTTAATACGAAATGGCGGCCGCCTGGAAGAAAAACAATGAGACGACAAGACAACTGCAACAGTTTAATTGTAATGCCTTCAAATTGAAATGATGCTCGTCGCTCGATGCGAATACAAATAATGATAATACAGGATCAGGATTAAGAGGACTGCATGAGACAAAACATTTATTGCATGGCAATGCGGCTAATGGGCCTGCTTCATTACTTACTTCAACAGAAGGAGAGAATAAAACAGAATGAAGAACTGCTAACAAACCAAAATTAAAGCACTCAATTTCTCCTACATAGGGCCTGTTCCAGCGCCTCCAGTAGAAATTCTTGACTGGAGGCTCTACCAGAGGTTTCACTGGAGGCGCTGGAACGCAATCTGGAGATTTCTGGAGATTGGCGTCATTGATACCAAAAGAATGACGATTGTTCTCTCTTGAAATGAAAAATTTGATTTCAATTTTAGTAAAAAAGATTAACAAAATTATGGCAATGTAATTTTCTTTACATTCAAGTTGTAAGATTATCAGTCAAAAGTTCTTTGTTTACATTCGTGATTGTCACATGTGCGCCATAATTGTAGACCAGAGCCTCCAGAGAAATTTGGACCTCCCAACTCTCTGGAGGCTACTGGAGGTTTCTGGAGCTTTGGCGAGAGCTTTCTGGACATAGATTCTGGAGCTTTCTGAAGGCGCTGGAACGCTCTCTGGAGGATTCTAGAGCTTTCTGGAGGTTTCTGGAGGTTTCTGGAGGCGCTGGAACAGGCCGATAAATCAACTTCTATCAATTCAGCAGCAACGAATATCAGCCTCACAGCAGCATATTTCGGGGTCTTTCGATTTGGCTGAAAATCGGTATACAGGGCCTCCTCGATGCGCTGATTCCGAAAATGTACCTCTTTGGGGTGGTATTTTGCACCGTTAACGAGTTAACGGCCAGTTAACATTTTAACGGGAAACAGCGGGTCTTTTGATTTGGCTGAAAATCAGTATACAGGGCCTCCTTGATGCGCTGATTCCGAAAATGTACCTCTTTGGGGTGGTATTTTGCACCGTTAACGAGTTAACGGCCATTTAACATTTTAACGGGATACAGCGGGGTCTTTCGATTTGGCTGAAAATCGGTATACAGGGCCTCCTCGATGCGCTGATTCCGAAAATGTACCTCTTTGGGGTGGTATTTTGCACCCTTAACGAGTTAACGACCAATTAACATTTTAACGGGAAACGACGGGGTCTTTCGATTTGGCTAAAAATCGGTATACAGGGCCTCCTTGATGCGCTGATTCCGAAAATGTACCTCTTTGGGGTGGTATTTTGCACCGTTAACGAGTTAACGGCCAGTTAACATTTTAACGGGAAACAGCGGGGTCTTTCGATTTGGCTGAAAATCAGTATACAGGGCCTTCTCGATGTGCTGATTTCGAAAATGTACCTCTTCGAGGTGGTATTTTGCATCGTTAACGAGTTAACGATCCGTTAACATTTCAGCAGCATATATCGATTTCAGCAGCAAATTTTCGGGGTCTTTCGATTTGGCTTAAAATCGGTGTACAGGGTCTCCTCGATGCGCTGATTCCGAAAATGTACCTCTTTGGGGTGGTATTTTGCACCGTTAACGAGTTAACGACCAATTAACATTTTAACGGGAAACGGCGGGGTCTTTCGATTTGGCTAAAAATCGGTATACAGGGCCTCCTTGATGCGCTGATTCCGAAAATGTACCTCTTTGGGGTGGTATTTTGCATCGTTAACGAGTTAACGACCAATTAACATTTTAACGGGAAACAGCGGGGTCTTTCGATTTGGCTGAAAATTGGTATACAGGGCCTCCTCGATGCGTTGATTCCGAAAATGTACCTCTTTGGGGTGGTATTTTGCACCGTTAACGAGCTAACGGCCAGTTAACATTTTAACGGGAAACAGCGGGGTCTTTCGATTTGGCTGAAAATCGGTGTCCAGGGCCTTCTCGATGCGCTGATTCCGAAAATGGAACACTTTGGGGTGGTATTTTCCACCGTTAACGAGTTAACGACCAATTAACATTTAAACGGGAAACGGCGGGGTCTTTCGATTTGGCTGAAAATCAGTATACAGGGCCTTCTCGATGCGCTGATTTCGACAATGTGCCTCTTTGGGGTGGTATTTTGCATCGTTAACGGGTTAACGATCCGTTAACATTTCAGCAGCATATATCGATTTCAGCAGCAAATTTTCGGGGTCTTTCGATTTGGCTTAAAATCGGTGTACAGGATCTCCTCGATGCGCTGATTCCGAAAAGGTACCTCTTTGGGGTGGTATTTTGCACCGTTAATGAGTTAACGACCAATTAACATTTTAACGGGAAACGGCGGGGTCTTTCGATTTGGCTAAAAATCGGTATACAGGGCCTCCTTGATGCGCTGATTCCGAAAATGTACCTCTTTGGGGTGGTATTTTGCACCGTTAACGAGTTAACGGCCAGTTAACATTTTAACGGGAAACAGCGGGGTCTTTCGATTTGGCTGAAAATCAGTATACAGGGCCTTCTCGATGTTCTGATTTCGAAAATGTATCTCTTTGAGGTGGTATTTTGCATCGTTAACGAGTTAACGATCCGTTAACATTTCAGCAGCATATATCGATTTCAGCAGCAAATTTTCGGGGTCTTTCGATTTGGCTTAAAATCGGTGTACAGGGTCTCCTCGATGCGCTGATTCCGAAAATGTACCTCTTTGGGGTGGTATTTTGCACCGTTAACGAGTTAACGACCAATTAACATTTTAACGGGAAACGGCGGGGTCTTTCGATTTGGCTAAAAATCGGTATACAGGGCCTCCTTGATGCGCTGATTCCGAAAATTTACCTCTTTGGGGTGGTATTTTGCATCGTTAACGAGTTAACGACCAATTAACATTTTAACGGGAAACAGCGGGGTCTTTCGATTTGGCTGAAAATCGGTATACAGGGCCTCCTCGATGCGTTGATTCCGAAAATGTACCTCTTTGGGGTGGTATTTTGCACCGTTAACGAGCTAACGGCCAGTTAACATTTTAACGGGAAACAGCGGGGTCTTTCGATTTGGCTGAAAATCGGTGTCCAGGGCCTTCTCGATGCGCTGATTCCGAAAATGGAACACTTTGGGGTGGTATTTTCCACCGTTAACGAGTTAACGACCAATTAACATTTAAACGGGAAACGGCGGGGTCTTTCGATTTGGCTGAAAATCAGTATACAGGGCCTTCTCGATGCGCTGATTTCGACAATGTGCCTCTTTGGGGTGGTATTTTGCATCGTTAACGGGTTAACGATCCGTTAACATTTCAGCAGCATATATCGATTTCAGCAGCAAATTTTCGGGGTCTTTCGATTTGGCTTGAAATCGGTGTACAGGATCTCCTCGATGCGCTGATTCCGAAAAGGTACCTCTTTGGGGTGGTATTTTGCACCGTTAATGAGTCAACGACCAATTAACATTTTAACGGGAAACGGCGGGGTCTTTCGATTTGGCTACAAATCGGTATACAGGGCCTCCTTGATGCGCTGATTCCGAAAATGTACCTCTTTGGGGTGGTATTTTGCACCGTTAACGAGTTAACGGCCAGTTAACATTTTAACGGGAAACAGCGGGGTCTTTCGATTTGGCTGAAAATCAGTATACAGGGCCTTCTCGATGTGCTGATTTCGAAAATGTATCTCTTTGAGGAGGTATTTTGCATCGTTAACGAGTTAACGATCCGTTAACATTTCAGCAGCATGTATCGATTTCAGCAGCAAATTTTCGGGGTCTTTCGATTTGGCTTAAAATCGGTGTACAGGGTCTCCTCGATGCGCTGATTCCGAAAATGTACCTCTTTGGGGTGGTATTTTGCACCGTTAACGAGTTAACGACCAATTAACATTTTAACGGGAAACGGCGGGGTCTTTCGATTTGGCTAAAAATCGGTATACAGGGCCTCCTTGATGCGCTGATTCCGAAAATGTACCTCTTTGGGGTGGTATTTTGCACCGTTAACGAGTTAACGACCAATTAACATTTTAACGGGAAACGGCGGGGTCTATCGATTTGGCTGAAAATCGGTATACAGGGCCTCCTCGATGCGTTGATTCTGAAAATGTACCTCTTTGGGTGGTATTTTGCACCGTTAACGAGTTAACGGCCATTTAACATTTTAACGGGAAACAGCGGGGTCTTTCGATTTGGCTGAAAATCGGTGTCCAGGGCCTTCTCGATGCGCTGATTCCGAAAATGGACCTCTTTGGGGTGGTATTTTGCACCGTTAACGAGTTAACGACCAATTAACATTTAAACGGGAAACGGCGGGGTCTTTCGATTTGGCTGAAAATCAGTATACAGGGCCTTCTCGATGCGCTGATTTCGACAATGTGCCTCTTTGGGGTGGTATTTTGCACCGTTAATGAGTTAACGACCAATTAACATTTAAACGGGAAACGGCGGGGTCTTTCGATTTGGCTACAAATCGGTATACAGGGCCTCCTTGATGCGCTGATTCCGAAAATGTACCTCTTTGGGGTGGTATTTTGCACCGTTAACGAGTTAACGGCCAGTTAACATTTTAACGGGAAACAGCGGGGTCTTTCGATTTGGCTGAAAATCAGTATACAGGGCCTTCTCGATGTGCTGATTTCGAAAATGTAACTCTTTGAGGTGGTATTTTGCATCGTTAACGAGTTAACGATTCGTTAACATTTCAGCAGCATATATCGATTTCAGCAGCAAATTTTCGGGGTCTTTCGATTTGGCTTAAAATCGGTGTACAGGGTCTCCCCGATGCGCTGATTCCGAAAATGTACCTCTTTGGGGTGGTATTTTGCACCGTTAACGAGTTAACGACCAATTAACATTTTAACGGGAAACGGCGGGGTCTTTCGATTTGGCTAAAAATCGGTATACAGGGCCTCCTTGATGCGTTGATTCCGAAAATGTACCTCTTTGGGGTGGTATTTTGCACCGTTAACGAGTTAACGACCAATTAACATTTTAACGGGAAACAGCGGGGTCTTTCGATTTGGCTGAAAATCGGTATACAGAGCCTCCTCGATGCGTTGATTCCGAAAATGTACATCTTTGGTGTGGTATTTTGCACCGTTAACGAGTTAACGGCCAGTTAACATTTTAACGGGAAACAGCGGGGTCTTTCGATTTGGCTGAAAATCGGTGTCCAGGGCCTTCTCGATGCGCTGATTCCGAAAATGGACCTCTTTGGGGTGGTATTTTGCACCGTTAACGAGTTAACGACCAATTAACATTTAAACGGGAAACGGCGGGGTCTTTCGAGTTGGCTGAAAACCAGTATACAGGGCCTTCTCAATGCGCTCATTTCGAGAATGTGCCACTTTTGGGGTGGTATTTTGCATCGTTAACGAGTTAACGATCCGTTAACATTTCAGCAGCATATATCGATTACAGCAGCAAATTTTCGGGGTCTTCGGATTTGGCTTAAAATCGGTGTACAGGGCCTCCTCGATGCGCTGATTCCGAAAATGTACCTCTTTGGGGTGGTATTTTGCACCGTTAACGAGTTAACGACCAATTAACATTTTAACG